TTAATAGACACATATAGATCACTCCACCCTGAAGGAGCCGAATACACATTCTTCTCAAGTGCACATGGAACATTCTCTAGTATAGACCATATGTTGGGAAACAAGGCAAGCCTCTACAAATTTAAAAAAATTGAAATAATAACAAGCATCTTCTCAGATCATAGTGCTATAAGGCTAGAAATTAATTACAAGAAAAAAACTGAGAAAGGCACAAAGATGTGGAGACTAAACAACACACTACTGAACAAGCAACGGATCATTGAAGAAATTAAAGAAGAAATCAAAAAATAACCTGGAAACAAATGAAAATGATAGCATGCCATACCAACTCATATGGGTTACAGCAAAAGCTGTATTAAGAGGAAAATGCATCGCAATACAGGCACATCTTAACAAACAAGAAAAATCCCAAATAAGCAACCTTAAAGCACACCTAACTGAACTAGAGAAAAAAGAACAAATGAAGCCCAAAGTCAGCAGAAGGAGAGAAATAATAAAAATCAGAGCAGAAATAAATACTATTGAAACAAAAAAGGCAGTAGAAAGGATCAATGAGACAAAGAGCCGGTTTTTTGAGAAGATAAATAAAATTGACAAAGCACTAGCCAGACTTACAAAGAAAAAAAGGGAGAAAGCTCAAATAAACAAAATCAGAAATGAGCAAGGAGAAATAACAACAGACTCTGCAGAAATACAACAGATTATAAGAGAATACTACAAAAAACTATATGCCAACAAAATGGATAACCTAGAGGAAATGGATAAATTCTTGGACTCCTACAATCTCCCAAAGCTCACTCAAGAAGAGGCAGACAATTTGAACAGACCAATCACAAGGAAAGAGATTGAAACAGCAATCAAAAACATCCCAAAGAATAAAACCCCAGGACCAGATGGCTTTCCTGGGGAATTCTACCAAACTTTCAGAGAGGATTTAATACCTATCCTTTTCAAGCTATTCCAAAAAATTAGGGAAGCTGGAACACTTCCTAACACATTCTATGAGGCCAACATCACGCTGATACCAAAACCTGACAAGGACACCACGAAAAAAGAGAACTACAGGCCAATATCACTGATGAACATAGATGCAAAAATTCTAAACAAAATTTTGGTAACCAGAATTCAGCAATTCATCAAAAGAGTCATACATCATGATCAGGTGGGATTCATACCAGGGACACAGGGATGGTTCATCATCCGCAAATCAATCAGCATGATACACCACATCAACAAACTGAGGAATAAAAACCACATGATCATCTCAACAGATGCAGAGAAGGCATTTGACAAGATCCAACAGCCATTTATGATAAAAACTAGCAACAAAATGGGCATAGAAGGAAACTACCTCAACATGATAAAGGCCATATATGAGAAACCCACAGCCAACATCATACTCAATGGGCAAAAACTGAACCCCATCCCCCTGAAAACAGGAACAAGACAAGGATGCCCTCTATCACCACTCTTATTTAACATAGTACTGGAGGTCCTGGCCAGAGCGATCAGGCAAGAAAAAGGAATAAAAGGAATCCAAATAGGGAGGGAAGAAGTGAAACTCTCGCTGTTTGCAGACGACATGATCTTATATATAGAAAACCCCAAAGAATCGATTGGAAAACTCTTAGAAGTAATCAACAACTACAGCAAAGTTGCAGGGTATAAAATCAATTTGCATAAATCAGTAGCATTTCTATACTCCAGTAATGAACCAACAGAAAAAGAACTCAAGAATACAATACAATTCACAATTGCAACAAAAAGAATAAAATACCTTGGGGTAAATTTAACTGAGGAAATGAAGGACCTATACAATGAAAATTACAAGGCCTTTCTGAGAGAATTGGATGATGACATAAGGAGATGGAAAGACATTCCATGTACATGGATTGGAAGAATAAACATAGTTAAAATGTCCGTTCTACCTAAAGCAATCTACAGATTCAACGCCATCCCAATCAGAATCCCAAAGACATTCTTTACAGAATTAGAACAAAGAATCCTCAAATTCATATGGGGCAACAAAAGACCCCAAATTTCTAAAGCAATCCTGAGAAAAAAGAACAAAACGGGAGGCGTCACAATCCCTGACTTCAAAACATACTACAAAGCTACAGTAATCAAAACAGCATGGTACTGGTACAAAAACAGGTGCACAGATCAATGGAACAGAATTGAAGGCCCAGAAATAAAACCACACATCTATGGACAGCTTATCTTTGACAAAGGAGCTGAGGGCATACAATGGAGAGAAGAAAGTCTTTTCAACAAATGGTGCTGGGAAAACTGGAAAGCCACATGTAAAAGAATGAAAATCGACCATTCTTTTTCACCATTCACCAAAATAAACTCAAAATGGATTAAAGACCTAAAGGTGAGACCTGAAACCATAAGGTTTCTGGAAGAAAACGCAGTCAGTACACTCTTTGACATCAGCATTAAAAAGATCTTTTCGGACACCATGCCTTCTCAGAGAAGGGAAACAATAGAAAGAATAAACAAATGGGACTTCATCAGATTAAAGAGCTTCTTCAAGGCAAATGAAAACAGGATTGAAACAAAAAAACAACCCACTAACTGGGAAAAAATATTTGCAAGTCATATATCTGACAAAAGCTTAATATCCTTAATATATAAAGAACTCTCGCAACTCAACCACAAAACATCAAACAACTCAATCAAAAAAATGGGCTGGAGACATGAACAGACATTTCTGCAAAGAAGATATACTGATGGCCAATAGGCACATGAAAAGATGCTCCTCATCGCTGATCATCAGGGAAATGCAAATCAAAACTACACTAAGATATCACCTTACACCCGTTAGAATGACAAAAATATCTAAACTAATAGCAACAAACGTTGGAGAGGTTGCGGAGAAAAAGGAACCCTCATATACTGCTGGTGGGAATGCAAACTGGTGCAGCCACTATGGAAAACAGTATGGAGATTCCTCAAAAAATTAAAAATAGAACTACCATACGATCCAGCCATCCCACTACTGGGTATTTATCCAAAGAGCCTGAAGTCAGCAATCCCAAAAGTCCTGTGCACCCCAATGTTTATTGCAGCACTGTTTACAATAGCCAAGACGTGGAAGCAACCTAAGTGCCCATCAACAGACAAATGGATAAAGAAGATGTGGTACATATATACAATGGAATACTACTCAGCTGCAAAACAGAACAAAATCATTCCATTTGCAATAACATGGATGGACCTTGAGAGAATTATGTTAAGTGAAATAAGCCAGCGAGAGATACCCTATGACCCAGCCATCCCATGACTGGGTATCTATCCTAAGAACCTGATATCAGAATTCTCAAGAGTCCCTTGCACCCCTATGTTCATCGCAGCATTATTTACAATAGCCAAGACGTGGAACCAGCCTACATGCCCAGAAACTGATGACTGGATAAAGAAGATGTGGTATATATACACAATGGAATACTACTCAGTCATAAAAAAAGACAAAATTTGCCCATTCACAACAACGTGGATCGACCTCGAGGGTATTACGTTAAGCGAAATAGCCAATCAGAGAAAGACGAACTCTATATGACTCCACTCATAGGTGGAAGTTAGTATATTGATAAGGAGATCAGATCGGTGGTTACCAGGGAAAAGGGGGGGTGGGGGGAGGGCACAAAGGGGGAAGTGGTATACCCACAACATGACTAACAAAAATGTACAACTGAAATCTCACAAGGTTGTAATCTATCATAACATTAAAAAAAAAAGCCCCAGGTCATCATCCCACCAAGGAAGAAGGTTCCTAAAATTAACGGCACTATGAATACTAATGCCAACGGAGGCCAGTCTGTTGAGGAAACAGGTGATTTACAAACATGTATGATAAATTTCTCTCTGTCCCAACTGCCGTGCATTGTGTGCTTTTCTGCTCTGGCTCACCATGTTGAACTGGATATTCTACCGACCCAAGGAACCAGACACTTTCCATGGACGTGCAAGAGGAAACTGTCCCAAGAACTGAGTTGAATGGGAAAGTCATATCTTAAAGTAGGAATCAGGTAGTTGATTTCTCAAGCTTCCCATTCAGACAGCTCAAAGTAGATAGTAAATATTGGAGATGGTGACTAAAGCCTCCCCACTGCATATTTAGACCAACTTCTGGGGGAGGAGTCATTTGTCAAATGGCGTAATTCAACCTAACAGGTATACTGAGAGCAAATTATATTGCGTAGGGCAATGTTGCAGGAGATGGGCCATGCCGACTTGTTAAAAGTCACATTTTTATGGGTTGTAGACTCTAGAATAGTTGATAGGCCTTACATAACTTTTGAAAAAATTATAAAAACTCAATGGTTAGTTTCTAAGATCCTAGGTGATGCTACATTAATAAGAAATAATTTTGAATTGGGAAGAATACTTTGATAATACTAATGATAAAATTAATATTACAGGAAAAACGAAAATTTAAAAAATAAAGTGGAAGAGCATTAAACTTATCTGTGAGTTAATCAGAAAGTGCACTTTCATTTTTCAGAACTAGTTATAAACCTTTGACATTCTCATTGCTACTTTCCTAAATCCAAGATTAAAGAAGAGGTCTGGTACAGAGGAGTTCCTTTAAGTTTAGGATTGACTGGGTTTTAAAATTCTGCGAAGACAGGATCAAGGACCATTGACCATGCTAGGTTTAACTGGTTTCCAGCCCCAAAGCAACAAAATTAATCACCGAAGAACAGATTCATATGAACGAGGCAAAAAAAAAATAAAAACAAAAGACACATGTACACTGACATATACCTTGGAGGCATTTTGCATATGTGAAATTTCATTTGCATTTTTAGACAATGGAGTAACTCTTTTGCAGGCTGCACTAAAACACACCATTGAAGAAATCAGACTGGGAATTTCAGCATTCATTTGATGTTTCAAGAAGTCAAGGAAGGTAGTCAACTAAAAAATAACTCAAATACTGCTTCTTTTTCATGTTCAGCAAGCATAAGATAATTAATGGCAGAACAGCTTACCTGGGACAGGGCTCTTTCTTGAACTTAAGTTTTGAGAATCCACAATCTCTTCCATTTGTTCATCTGCTTCTACCTCTATTTTATTCTGAATCTCTGGTGCATCTTCACTAAGGCAAGTTCTTATGTTCTCGTCCTCTTCTAAGACTCTCTGGACTGCGGTGGGAGCACTAGCAGTATTAACATTAGTGGTGGCAGCAGCAATAATGACTGGCGTGAGAGGAGGAGAAACTGGAGGAGTTGGAGGAGATGGAGAAAAGGAAGGAACTGTGGAACGGGTGATGGGAGCTGGGACACACTCCACTTTCATTTCTTCTGGGGGACTTTGCAGAATCTCCAGTTCAAGAGTCAATGGTAATACCTCCTGTTTTACTATTTCCACAATGCTCTCCGTGGCTGGTAGTTTCTCACTAACTCCATTCATTTCATTAATTAGGTTAGTACTAACAATCAGTGGACTATCATTAGGTGCTACACTACAAGATTTCTTGCATATATCATCATCAATTATGTCTGTTGGTGAAGGATCTGATGTTTCTGTGCAAGATGCGGGGCTGGGTACAGGAATTGTGTCTTCTTTTGAGGAAGAGAGTTCACATCTATCATCTATAGCAGTGGTGAGTATTGGCTGACTACTAAGAGCAGCAGAGGTTGGGGAAGCAATTGTACTTCGAGCAAGTGGAGAAACAGTGGTAGGTGATGGAGGCAGAGGAAGCTCTGGTATGGATTCCACTGCAGTAGTTTCAGATGTCTGGCCTGCTTGTTCTTTCTTCTCTCCACTAAGAACTAGCCTAAGCACTGGGGAAGGAGACTTTAACACTGGATCTGGTTTTGGCTTCTCTTCTAGGAAAAAAAAAATAAAAGAGTTTTAAGAGTAATTCTTGCATCAGAGATTATATTGTATATTTTAAGCTAATTCTTTTATCTCTTACCATAAATGATGGGCAGCAGAAGAGAGACCAAAATATTATTCTGCCACTTGAAAAGCATGATCATATTGTCTTTTCTAATTACACCCACTATACTTGATCTCCAATACATATAAAGTTTATTTTGGAGTAAGAGAAGGAATCAACTCACTAAATGATTACGTCAAGAATACAACAGAAAAAGTTCATCAAAACTAAAGTTAAACCATTCTTGAGATGACAGTGGGGCTTTTCTTTAAGGTACAGAGACCTTCATTCATCTCTACTGTATCTTGTTCCCTGTAGAAAATTTTTCTACCAAAAATACACCATAGTGGCAGGACAGTTCAAGGGCAAATAACTTGAGATTAAATTATTATAAACTGGTATTTTTTATTCTCTATATTTCTGCATTTGAGGGAATTTTTATAAAGAATTTTTATTTGTATAAAAAGCTATGTTTTAAGAGAAAGTATCATGGTGTCATTTATTATCAATGAAATTTACTATTAGTGAAATCAAGTTCTTAAAGATAAAAATTCATTTAGAAATTAACTTAACTTTCATTTTTCAAAAGAGCTATATAACCAGAAGTAATATGAAGGTGTAAAAATGGAAATTTGGGGCTGGCCCCGTGGCCGAGTGGTTAAGTTCGCGCGTTCTGCTGCAGGCGGCCCAGTGTTTCGTTGGTTCGAATCCTCGGTGCCGACATAGGACGGCTCATCAAACCACGCTGAGGCAGCGTCCCACATGCCACAACTAGAAGGACCCACAACAAAGAATACACAACTATGTACCAGGGGGGCTTTGGGGAGAAAAAGGGAAGAAAAAAAGAAATAGGAAATTTATCTTGTATATTCAATTGTAAAAAATATTCTTTATATTCAGAAAATCAAGTCCAAGAAAATAAGAACATAACATATATTTCTGAAATATCTGAGAATGTAAATGTGTGTCTGTATAGACAAAAAAAAGAATGAAAGCAAGAGTGAGAGATAAATTGATAATCATAATAAAGGTACCTTAAAAGTACAAGGAACTCTAATTCATGAAAATTTCCCTATTTTAGAATTCCAGGTAAACTGATACGTGACTCATCCCTGGGAGGATGAAGCACAGGAGACTTACACTGGTTGCCAGACTTGTGCTTCCTGAGCACGAAAAACAGGCTCCATTGGAAAAACAGATACTCGTGAGTTTGTTTATCAGATGTAAACAAAAATTTTAAGCACTACTAAAAGACAATCTAAACAGAAAGGGACTTTACTTTCTCTGCCAGAAATCTTTATGAATCAGTGAAAATGAGTCTTTACAATAAATTGCAGTTAAGTCTGTCAAAGAAAATATGATCTGTAAATCAGAGAAATAGATGGTAAATATTAGCATTAAGCTGTTAAAGGCTAATTCATTCACTGTAACTACTTTTACTGGCCTTAAAATTCACTTTAATATGGGCATAGAGGCCAGGACTTCGTAAACTGAACTCTGTCTATTTACTGTAGTGAAGAAATAAGATCAATAGAGGCTCTCACTGCCAAATCCCTCAGACGAAATTGCCAGGACAAGAGACACAAATATTTCACAGAAAAGTCTATTGTATGTATTATAATGAGAGACATATATAATAAATATGTATTTATTAAAATAAATATCAAATGAAAATAATTTCCAACTCACTGGAGTAACTGCTACATGGGTCACCCAGATTACATGATACTACCGTGAAAGCACATCAGAATAACACCCTTTATGACCAGTGAATGGAACCTAGATGTAGTAAATTAAACAAGAGAAAATGATAATTCTCACATTAACAGTCTAATGAGTATGTTGATTCAATTATTAATTTGGGGAAATAAAATTTCTGATATTAAAAAAATCAAACAAAAGCAGACCTAAGACTGAAACAATATACTCTTGAGAAAAATCAAACATTAATGAAGAAAATCAGAAACAAAAAAAGTTAATTATTTTCAGAGCCCTTCATTCTGAAATAAAAGTCCTTAAATTCATTCATTAAAGCTTTAATACAGGAAGCTGGAAAGTATAATAGAGTAGATCTGAATAAAGAACATTGATTTTTATCTAAGAACTTTCACTATTAAGAGTATACTTTGCAGAGACATGATATAGTTTGAAACCTAATATATTGCATTAAATATACCATTTGGCTATCTTTAGGAATTTGTGGAAATTCCATCTTTAAGAATTTTTTCTAAGGGAATAATCATGCAAGAGTGAGCAAAGACAGAGGTCTGGAATATATAAGGCAACACTATAATAGAAAAGAAAAAGAGAAATAGACTAAATGTCTAACAATGGGGGACTTGTTAAAGAAATGGTGGCCTGGGCATCTAATGGTATATTGTGCAATCATTTAAAATAGGCTTTTAAAAGAGTATTTAATGATTTGGAAAGCTATTTATAATAAAAGATATGTTTTTTAAAAAGCAGGGCACGGGGCTGGCCTGGTGGCGCAGCAGTTAAGTTCGCACGTTCCACTTCGGCGGCTCATGGTTCGCCAGTTCGGATCCCAGGTGCGGACATGGCACCACTCAGCAAGCCATGCTGTGGTAGGCATCTCACATATAAAGCAGAGGAAGATGGGCACGGATGTTAACTCAGGGCCAGTCTTCCTCAGCAAAAAGAGGAAGATTGGTGGCAGATGGTAGCTCAGGGCTGATCTTCCTCAAAAAAAAAAAAAAACCCCAAAAAAGACAAAAAGCAGGGCAAAACACTGTATGTAGAGCATAAACCTAATTTCGTAACTTGAAAAAATACTAAGATATGCACATGGGAAAGTCTGGAATTACACACAGTTTATTAACAATGGCTCTGGATAATGAAATGAGATAGTTTTTTCTTTCTGCTTTATCTATGGTTTCTCTAATAAGTATCACATTGCAAAGAAGAAGGAAAAAAACTGTTCCCTTTTCTCATATGGTGGTGGCATCTACCAGCTAGATGGGTGGCTTTCTCTTGCCTTGAGCCTCATGTGACTCAGAAGGTGCTTAATGGGCAGAGATTAAGCATCCTGAAATCTGAAGGATAGTCTCATTTGACAGAGAACAGTCCTGTCCTAAATGCCAAGAGAGCCCCAGCAGAGCTACACTGCTATAAATGGTTGAATTACAACAGAATACCTATTCTACACCAAGTGCTTTCAAAAGGCCTGAAGACCAGGGCACAAATAACTTATTTGAATTATCCATACCGTATCTTCAGTACACTGGGCTGAACGAACTTTCTCAAAGAACATCAAACAATAACCATTTAAGCTGTGTCTATACATCATCAACACCAAAGATTTCAATTCATTCAACCATCTTTCTCTCTATAAACAAAGTGGAGGTCTTCTCTGTCTCTTTATAAAGTACCAAACAAATGGGAAATGGAATATTTGTCTAGAAACTTGGTCTTCATGTAACCATTCCAGCTGTTCACATCAAAAATTCTGAGAAAACCAGAAGCTTAATAATGGCAGTTAACATTTATTAAGCACTTATTATGTGCCAGGAACTGGGTGAAATACTATGCATACATAGGTCCTTTAATACTTACAACCATCACTGGGGTAGAAACTATTATGTTCATATTCTACAGATGGGGAAACTAGAGATTTTAGAGATCCTAGGTCAAAGGTCATATAATTAGCAATGCTGGAACCTGAAAATGATTTCAAATACCATATTCTTCTAATTCAGAAAAAAAGGCTTATGGAAAAAGAAGTATTTAGGTGAATCAAGCTGGAGGGAGACTTTGGGGCTAACATGGGATTCTGTTACCTAGTGCAAATCCTCAGAAATGATCCTCCCATTGAAAGAGAAAAACCAATCTGAGTGCAGAATGCAGAATCTATTGATTCTGGGAGTAGCAGAGCAATCTTTGAAAATAGTGCATTTTAACATCCTACTTTAATTTCAAAAGGAATCTATAGTTATGAAGAAAATTTTAAAATTTCTTTTAAAAAAACTCTGAAAAATGGTGAGACCTTTCTAAAATTATTTGAATTTATATACATGTGGTTAAAAAAATACTACCCTGAAAACTATTCTATATATTTACTGGCAAGCTATGGGTAGAATTAGAAATAGAAAATTACCTTACTGAGTTTTCTGGAGAATAGTTGGTACTATGAGGAAAACAGCAGTAGTCCCAAAGAGTTACTTATAAGCTCTATAAAATACACTTAAAATGCAAGTCTTTCTTTTCATCAAGGTAACCTGAAACATTTTCCATTTTACTCATATCTATGTCATATATCAAATTTGAAATGTTGATTTTATAATTCAAATTTCCACTAGGTGTAAAGGACTGAGAAGAAGCCAAGAATTCTGGAAATCAAGGCCTAAATATAACACAACACAGAGGTCTCATAATCTAAAAATCTTATCAGGTCAGAGTTATCATCAACAAGGTATATTATGACTTCTTTACATCGTGGTCCAGCTACAAAGTCTGCATAGAGGATATAATTTAAGGCCTCTCTGAATGATAAGTATTCAATACGCTTAGCATAATTCTAATTAGTAAAAGGATTACAACTGTGCAAAAGGAATGACATAAAGTTTTAAATGGAATACCTTGAAAATAATTTTGCACTCAGATTGAAAATATTCTAAATTTTTACTCAAAACTGCTTTCTCGGGGCCGGCCCAGTGGTGCAGCAGTTAAGTTCACATGTTCTGCTTTGGCGGCCCAGGGTACCCTGGTTCAGATCCCAGGTGCGGACATGGCACCACCTGGCATGCCATGCTGTGGTAGGCATCCCACGTATAAAGTAGAGGAAGACGGGCATGGATGTTAGCTCAGGGCCAGTCTTCCTCAGCGAAAAGAGGAGGATTGGCAGCAGATGTTAGCTCAGGGCTAATCTTCCTCAAAAAAAAAAAAAAAAACCCCACAAACGACCACACACAAAAAACCCCACCAAAAACAAAAACAAACTGCTTTCTCGTTGGAGGCAGGAAGTGGTCTTCCACAATGCCTACAAACTGCACTCCTACAAGGTGAATGACTTTAATACTAAAAAATTTACTGTTAAGCGTGCATGATTCTCTAACCGTAAACAAAGCTGAAATAAGTGTCTGACAGCGCAAGTTTTATAAGCATGCCAGGTTAGGGTTTGTTACCTATCTTTTGGCCCAAAACTATTTTATAAAACAAATACAATATAGGACTTGTCTCTGTTCAAGTTTCCTAGGCTCCTCAATACTCAAGGGGGAAAACCACCATATTATCCTGGCATTCTGTAAAAAAACATTGAAATCATACATCAGAAGTCTGTAAGTGTGATTAAGTTGCATCTAGTAAAAAACCAACAATATTAAATATCTCCATTTTATGCACCAATTCCCAAACTCTCTTTAAAGAATAATTTTTAGAAAGTAAATTTACTAACAACCAGCTATAGAACATTAAGGAGTTCAAAGGAATGAATGATTCAAGAAAACAGAAAACACACAATTTCCATTTATTCTTAGAATGAAGTCAGAAACATTATAAAAGCATGCTCAAAGTCATTTGCTTCCTCCTGTGCCTGGTGAGAACTGTCTCCCAACTTTAGCTAAGGTAAACCTACATCCAACTAGGCAGAAAAGAGAGAGAGCCTGTGATATCCTACTTTCTGGCATGAGATTTCCCTTAAAGTTTTCTATATATAATCCAAAAGGCAACGTGTATTTATTTCAACAAACATTTGGCACTTTATGTTCACGGTCAATAGGAGTAGAGACCTTAGTAAGATTCCTGCATCAATAATAATGGCTATAATTTACTAAGCCCTTTTTATAGGCTAGGCATGTCCCCACAACAACCCTGTGGCGCAGGTCTTCTTTATTCCGTTCTGTAAGCGAAGAAATCAAAGATACACAGCATACTGACTTACCAAGAACTCAGTACTCTCTCCACCTGAGGCAACAGAAGCCAAACTTGTAAGAAGAAACATTTTTTGTTTTTAAAAATAGCAAGGTACACAGGAGCATGTTGAATATATAAATAAAACTGTGGTGCTCTTGCAAAACAATATATACTTTGATTTATTCACCCAACCTTGTTGCAAAAACTGTTTAAGGAAGCTAAGTTTTTACCTATAAATATATGTTGACAATGAGACACTAATAAAATGTACAAAAACCTTTTACTAATCACCCTTTTTTATTTTCCTAGAGGCAGAACACCGATTTCCCATCTCAAACCTTTGTTTAAAAGTGGGTATCTAAAGAATCCTCAGATATTTTACTCTTAAACACTAAGGACAAGGTAATTAATTTAAAAAGACACTAAAGAGGGAGGAAAACAGTCATACACAAACCTTGCTTCTGGTCGCTAGCTGCAGTGACAGGGGTGCTGGCAGCAAGATGAGCGCTCTCCACAGTCCCATAAACGACAGGGCTGTGCTCGGGGACCTGGCTGGGCAGCTGCTGGGATTTGAAGTACAAAAAAGGGTGATAATGAGCGTGCGAACATAAAAACTAGCAACATGGAACCCAAGCAAGTGGGGAAGACAGAGTGGGGCAGGAGATCACAAAATTAAAAAAAAGGGAAAGCAAGGAAAAAATATATAGGCCAGTTTAATAAATCCAAAAAGTACACAAGAAGACAGGAAAGGAAAGGAAAGAGGCAGCAGGGAAAGGGAAGGAAAAGAGATGATTACTATTAACCACAGCAAGAGACAACAGCACAACAATCATTAGCACAAAACATTCTCTATGTTCTTTCCAAGGACAAACAGACTTCCCACCTAACAATAGATGTCATACCTGAGAGGGAATTTAACATTCTCCCAAAGACCAAAAGGATTTGGTCAACTTCACTTATAAACTACCTAGCAAAGTAGTTCATCTGCCAAAAGCAGGACAAACAAAACACGATGGGTTTTAAAACCAGTTACTGATTCAAGAAAACAATACTGAAGGGTGATTCTAGAATTTGTACACATAATCACATAGGTGAAATGCAACTTGGAAAGTCTCTAAAGGCACTTTCACCTTAAAATGTCTTTAGGTTCTGAGTCAAGGATGGCATCTTTTCAGAGTCAGAAATCTAAGTAAAATATCTGGCCTTTCAGAGCTAAGAGGAAACTCATTTTCACTTAGCCAGAATTTTGGAATCACCAATGTCCATCAAAACTCAGCAGAGTAGGTTGAAGCGATTTCAGCAACTGTTTAATGTAAAGGGAACAAAAATTACACAAAAAAGGACAAGAATACTCATTCTAGATCAAAGTCCACCCAGGTAATTGTTCTGGATTTGAGGGCTACACAAAACAAAGCAGTGTCTCTCCTCGGAGATGTAAGGTCAATTTTTTGATAGCTATAATCTTCTACTCTGAATTCTATCAGCCCCATCACAGCAGAGCTCCCCGCACAATTCTGATTTTCTTTTCTTTACTTTTGGAGGGGAGGGGGAAATTAGGTATGTACAATTTTGGGTGGGTAGGGCCACCTAAAAGTGAGAGTTAATAAAAGATATTTTTAAGTCAATAAGTCCCCCATAAAATGGGAATATAAAATGAAATATATCAGTTTAGAGACATATCACTTATCTTATGTCATTTAACTAATGATTCTCTTCAGAATGTACAACATGCAATTTACAGTTGACTATATATGGATTGTACAGAATAACAGGAATGGGAGAAATACTATTATTTAACCTATTTATTACACCATCAAAGTGCTCATATTCCACAATTACTTCTAAACGAAGACTACTAAAATTATATTGTCATATATAAAAAATGAAGAGTTACTGTTTTCACTTTGATTCATGGCCAAATAAATGAATAGTACTGCCATCATTACTCTACTCTGAATCTTTAGTTACATTAGAAAAGAATTATATTATTGAAATTTAAAAATTAGGAAGGCTCCATAGCTATAAATGAAAATATGGACTCAGTTCAATTTTACAGTTGAAAACCGCTCTAGAACAAAGGAAAGATTCTATGCCACTTAGCATTTATTCAACAGTCATCTGCATATCCCAGGAAAGAAAGATCTATAAATTGTGTCATTTACCTGAAAGGAAGAAAATATTAACTATTCCAACTCCCTGGGAAATTACTAACAATGGAAATGGGTGATTGCTAGAAGTAGGTCACCAAAATGACATCCAGAGATAAGGTGAGATGTTTAAGACAGTAAAAGGCTATTGATACCTATAAATCTGTATAGATCAGAGAGTTTTTTCAATCTAAAAATACGTTCAATCACATTAAAGACACAACTCACAGACAATTTCAAAGCAACAAAAACCTAGAAAGATTTTACGTACAAACATTTATAAGAAAGGAGTGAGATAACATGTCGGTTAAATCATAGTTCCAAATATCTAGTACATAGTTAAACAGCCACAAAATGCTAAGAAAGTACTGTTTCCTCAGCTGTAAAACGAAAAGAAACTAAAGATCCTACAGTCCCTTTCAGCTTTAACATTCTCTAACCTTCTGATGCTACCAAGAAAATGATAATATATTAAAATACAATATAATTTAATACTTTGATCTTGTTTGATTAATTTTCATTTAGGATAATCTCTAATTTTAGTTTAACCTCTAATCTCTTTTCTCCCAATGAAATAACTATAAATAGCCTGTTACAAAGGAGTTCCTTATCTTTCCAAAGCACAAATAATTATAGCTTATTTTATCTAATTGGTAAGTGAGAAAAATCAGGAAACATACTGAATATTGTGACTCAAAACATTACCTCCAATGCTGTATGCATTCTGATCCCTATAAGGAAATGAAGCCTTTGGGGAGCTGGAGAACATAGGTACATGATCTCCACTGCTGAGAGTATATTTAAGGGATTTCAAAATCATGGTGCTTCAGTTACTTTCACTATGGGTGGGAATGAAAATTTATAAAAATCATTCTGGAAGGGCAATTAGTATCAAAATATAAAACAGTTCAATAAAGATGCTCAGGAAGTCAGAGTTAAAAGCTTAGGGTTGATCTGGCAACTTCACATTGTTGCAGCAGTTCATAGTTTATGTCAATGCTAAATTGCCTCCCCCCCAAATTTTTCAAAATCAATGCTTTGATTGGCAGTAGAAAACAAAAGCTTTCTCACTTTTCAACTACAGTGATAAGGGAGTTTAAAGTATGACAGGATATTGGATACCTGACAGTATCTAAGAAACGAATTTCCTTTATACATTCTACCTGAGAATCTCCTCTGTTCAAGATTTATATATTAAATTTGAAGTACTGACCTCAAGGAACAATAGTAGGTTTGGGCCTAAATATCAGAGGAATTCATTTTTTTAAACAGAATGTTTACCAATAGGTAAAAAAGGCAACAAATCTGGAATCGTCCCTAAATACTCCTCTGTACAATTTAAAATATATTTCTCTTTACAAAGCCCACGTTGTTTCTATCCAGAAAGGGGCCACCTTCCTTGACTTCTTTTTTAATCTTGTATATGACAGGATGCTTAAGTATCATGTGAGCAACTAGGGTAGACTGTGGTATAAGTCGCTGGAAAAAAGAAGACAAGGGAGGGAGTACATCAAACACCTGAAGACACAGTAACAGGGGGTTCACAAACTCAAATGCCTTTATATAAACCAAAAGGTGACCTAAATGTGTGACGCCAAAGAGTGTAAAATAATAAAAACGAACAATGTAACAAACTAGAGAAGGTATGCCCAGGCTAAAGGAAATCAGATTGATGAAAACTTTTTTTTAAACACCAACCTTATAAAACAAACATCTGAAAAAGAGAGAACCTCTTTTTTGAAGGCAAGGAAAGGTTGCCAAGGTGTCAGGAATAATGAGGTAAACCCAGACACTCAAGATAAAAGCTGCCAGGCTGAACTGGATAGGCCTTAAAATGATTTGAAGGTTGCAATGGGGGGAGAGAGGGGGGAAATGAAACAACAAGAAAAACTCCAAAAACCAGTAATAATATGAATGGAATTCTCTCTACAGTATTTAAGACAGAACAGAAATGGCATTGAAACAGATCAATGGAATATAAAAATCCAGAAACAGACCCAGGTATATACGATAATTCAGTAAATAATTAAAACAATATCTCAAAACAAGGAGGCAATGATGAACTATTCAATAAATAATACTGAAACAAGAGACAAGTCATTTGGTTAAAAAAAAAAGAAGCTGGATGCAAATCTTATTATATACATCAAAATAAGTTCCATATCAATTGAAAATAAAGGTAAAATAATCAAACTAGAAGAAAATATATGAATAGTTTTATTATCTTAGGTGGTAAAAATCTTTCAAAGTACAAGCCCTACATCATAAATTATTTAGGAAAATACAGTAACCTGTGAATGTAAGAATTTTAAAACTTGTATATGATAGAAAACTAGAAAGAAATCTTACATATGTCAAAGGAAATTTTCTTTAACATGTGAAGAGTGCTTATAAATCAGAAAAAATCATCGCCCCAAGAGAAATGTATACAAAAGACAGGAATAGGTAATTCAGACACAAAGAAATAACCAGTGAACATCAAAATTCTTAACTCTACAAATCAATAAATAAAAATTAAACGAGACGATTTTTTAATCTATCAAATAAGCAGTAATATAAGGAAAGGGGGACTCTCTTATACTGCTGGTGAGAGATTAACTGGTACATTTCTGGAGGATAGGTAACACCACCATAATACAAAAATAAGGACACAAAGCTGTTCATCATAACATTGTTAATATTAGTGACAAACAAGAAAGAATAGGAAAACCTGTGAATTTAAAGAAACTGAGGTACATACAAACAAAGAAACACCAGGTAGCCATTAAATACTACAATAATACCTATAGTCAAAAATGAACATTTCTGCATGATCACCAAAAAAATAGTAGTTATAAAATGGCACGAATAAACTCAAATATATTAAATTATATGTGTGGATATACATATGTATATATGCACTAAACAATGTCTAGAAGGATATTCACGAAGAAGTTAACAGTTAATTCTCAGCAGTAAAATTCAGGCTTACAATTTTTTCCCTTACTACTCTTTTCCAATGAAATTTATAATTTTCACACACAAAATTAAAGTCATTTTAATTTTGAAAATACATTTTCACTAAGAGATAAATGACTGAACCTGACAGTTTCTTGTGATCTCTGACAACACTTCTTGTGATCCCTGCAACTGTAAACATCGTCGTTGCTAGCTGATTACAAATTGCACTATCACTGTTCTTGTGTCTGACTGGAGGAGATGGTAAGGGATACGAATTTTGCTACACGTGCAAAAAGCTCAAGTGACACTTTCCTTATAATTAGGATTCAAACTGAGAGTATCTAGGGTAAAATCATACCCCTATGACAGCAAAGGCTTTCAGAAAATTTGGTGAAGAATTACGAAAACACATAGTTCAAGTAAAAATGAAGAATCATTTAAAATAAAATAAAATTTAATGTTATTAATATCTTCTAAGTGGATCTTTACTGGGATGCCAAAACAACTTAAAACATACTTGTTCTACTGGCTTCCAAAAGAAGATATGGCATCTCAAAAGTGGCCTGAAGTCAAATTCTGTTCTCTTGCTTTAGGAAATTCCTACAGGCACCGAACCTGAAGAATCTAGGTTTTATTACAAATTCAGGACATTTTTACAAAACACTGTTGGAGACAGACCTAATGAAATAAAAAATCCCACTCTACAGCTCTAAGAAGGACCCTCTGGCTGTCTGTGTACAAATTCTTTTTTTTTTTTTTTTGAGGAAGATTAGCCCTGAGCTAACTACTGCCAGTCCTCCTCTTTTTGCTGAGGAAGCCTGGCTCTGAGCTAACATCCGTGCTCATCTTCCTCTATTTTATATGTGGGAGTCCTACCACAGCATGGCTTGCTGAGCGGTGCCATGTCCGCACCCGGGGTCTGAACCAGCGAATCCCGGGCCACCAAGAAGTGGAACGTGCGCACTTAACTGCTGCGCCACCAGGCCGGCCCCCAAATTCATTTTAAACAATGGAACAGCTTAACCCTTGCCAGCAAGGGTCTCTGTTCACCATGACATCTCACTTAAAACCTCTGAGAGAATCCACTCCACCTTAGATAACTGTTAAAAGTCTACAAGGCTTTCTACATTATTGAAAAGAACCATTTTTAAGTCAAAGGACATTACTAATGAGAAATTATTTTATTAAAGATGAAGAACAATGTGACTTAACTCAACAACCATTATCTTTATTACAGACATCACTAAAACAAAACCTACATGCCTATACGCTTCAAGGTAGACAATGGTATTAATTCATCAGTGCCTTTGAGATGACAAAATGATATTGTAAAAGTTAAGATTTGTTTACATGATATAGGTATCCCTTTCAAACATTACACAGGAACTTAGCTACTTCATGTACATAATACTTTTAATATGAATATTATTATCTAAGCTTCAGAACCTAATGTTAGTTAACTATTATTGCTAAAACTATAAAATGAACCAATTAACAAATAGTCTGAATTTAAGGTTTCCAAGTATCAAGTTTATAAGAAGCTCTTCAAAAGATTGAAGAACCTGCTGACTTTGACAATTTTCCCAAATGACAAGAGAGGCTATATCTTTCCTAAGATGTGCCAGGAATCAATAATTTCCAACTTTCTCTCTGCCCCTACACCCTGTGGCACAGCACTGTCTCCCATTAAAACTGGGCTTCACTATATGAGTAATTCTTAAAACACAGAAAAGAACAAAAGGGAGTAGGGAGAGGAAGAAAGGCATATATTTAAAAAATTAAGTGATACACCACCCTATCAGTTTGGAAGTAGAGAACTTTGGAAGCTTTGCGTATACAACAGCATGTATTTATTTTTACCCTACAGGGTCCCATAATGACTTCAGGCAGCTAGCACATTTCTTAACATGTAAATGTTCCTGTGCTTTATTTCGATCAACAACAGAGATATAGCTGACAGATTTTGATGCTGAGGGAAAGTAACAAAAATTTCCCTTTCTTTCCCACTTAAATAAAATTTAAGAACTAAAAGGGAACTCTGAGATTACTTCGTACAATCTACAGATGAAAAAAGAGGGGTTTAAGGGCTTAACATTCTGACCTAACAGTATAATTCTAAGTGATAGAGTGAAGACCAACGCAAGTGTTCTGGTACTCTGTGATGTCCATCCAAGCACCTCTATATGCATACTGTGATTATCTGAATGGGCACACATATACACATAGATATATTTTCTTTACATTTGAAATATAAAATCTCCAGGAGTTATTCATAGATAATTTTAAAATTTAGGCAGTAAGAATTTCAAATTCAATCTTCTCTTTAGGGTAAAAACAGCAGTAGCGAAAACCTATTTCTCCTCTCCATCCTCCTCACACTCTCCTCACCCAAGGCAGTCTCTCAACTCTTCTTAGCTTGATTGCTTGCCAAAATCAAACTCATTATCTCTCTTTTCAAACATCCCCACGTTATGTTTTACTATAAATCCAGGTATCTAAGCTTGAAGCTGACTCTTCCCTCTCTCTTACATCTAGAACCATGCATCCCTGTTTACATGGACAGTACTGGTTCATGCCTTTTGTCCCAGCAAAAGTATTAACAGCACTCCTATTCATTTCTAAAACTGCCCCAATTTAGATGATAGATTAAACGGTCACTCTAATCCCTACTTACTTAGTAACCAATTGCTGAATATTTCTCTAACTGGCTTCCTCTCCTTCAACTGACTTCCTAATTTATCACCTGAAATGACAATAGTCTCCCTTCATCCAATTTCCCATCTCCATATGCCATTTTGCACATGCTGCCCTTCTGCCTGAATTACCTTTCTCTCTCTTTCGATTTTGTGAATACCAGTCTGGGAACTCAGATCAAATGGCAACTCTGCTGTGAAGCCTTCCCAGACTCTTCTAGTCATTCTCTGTGCCTCCTGAAATAAAAGTAATTGTAACACTAACAACAGATAACATTTATTGAATGATCATTATGCCCTGAGCTTAAGCAATTTAAGTATTTTTCTCATTTAATCCTTATAACTATATGACAGGTTTTATTTTCCTCACTTTTTTTTAAATGTGGAAGCTAAGTCTCTAGAAGATTAAGTAATTTGGCTAAAGTTACAAAATTAAGTAGTGGAACTGGGGACTTGAAACCTAGTATGTCTGATTTTAAGCCAAAGCTTTACACCTCTCTCCTATACTATCTCACCTGTACCACCACTAATAGGTTTCTGTGATCCAACTCATCTGAGTCTGTGCTGCAACTCTGTCACTTGGTCACCTCTGCATCTTCATAATTCTCTGCATACACCTCACAGGAGTACCAATTATAAAGGAGTAAGTGTCCTCTGTCTCCCTTAAAGAAACTGGGACAAGCTCAATGATAGGCAAATGTTTTGCTGTTCACAGCATACGCAATTGTGGCTGAAAGCAGGTATTCCACAAGGCCAAAAGCAATACAGTGTTTATTCAGTCATCAATTCTGATGCAGACGGTTGTCTCCTCTGTAGTCTTACTAACTAGGATGTGGTTCAGGATCTATCTAGAATCAGGCTCAAGTTGCAAGCTAGCAGCCTTTAGGCTAAACCTAATGAGTTTTCTTTGGCTGGTATAGTGCTATTTGTTACTTGAATTAGTTGCCAACATTTAAAACTGGCAGCTTTTTTATATAAATAGAGATTTCTAGCTTCTTTTGAAACACTGGGTCAATATTCTTACGTGATATGACAATCTGGCAGTAATGACTGCCTCCCTTCATCAGGGATGTCCTCTCCTATTCTACGTGCAATACTGTATAAATTTCTGGACAATGAAGCCAAGTTCAATTGCCATCATGATGCTTGTGCTGTTGCTTTTCTTAAGAGAAAAATGAAGTATTTCTAGTATGTATGTCTCTGTTAAAAAGCTATTTGTTCATTCTATGAATTTCACGCATTCGGAAAAACAACAGATTGGTAAGTGTGGATTTAAATGCAAACCACCTAATAAAACAAACTAATGCTTCATGACGATATTACACCTCAAAAAGAACTATCAACATTATAATTAATGACTGATGGTCTTTATCAACTAAAATGTACATTTAACGTGCTTTATGACCACTCAAACATATATACTTGTATTTAGTCCTGTGATCCCTGGGGAAAGATAAAGAGCAATAGGATTTCTGTGGTGAAGGACAGAGGGATAACCAGAAGAGGGTAGGATGAAGCTTGGTAAGATTAAAGAAAAACAAACCAACTCCACAGGGAATTAAAAGGCAAAAAGATAAACTAACGCGTATTCAAACTGAGAATTTAAACACAAATCAACAGAAGATTGTCAATTATATGGCTTGACAGTAACAGTATCTTAATTAAAGTGGGAAAATAAAGACCAAAATTTAACTGCACTGATCAACCAATCCCAAATTTGGGGCTCTAGTACACCCCTCCCTAACACAGCACATAAGTAGATAATTTAAATGTGTAAGTGATGCTTGACCCATGTTCACTTCCAGGGATGAGCTTAAATATAAAATCTTCTTCAACATTCCAGACTCGGAATATTCCTGGGGCAATAGTGGGAATGGTGAAAAGTTCTATTAAGGATCACTAATCTGACACTACAATTCACATTATCTAGATGATCACATATTATACCTGTCTAGATGATGGAAGAAACTATCATCAACATCATTACACAAAGGCCCAAGTTTTAGGCTTACTCAAAACTTACAGATTTTCAAGGGGTTCTAAACTCAGCCATCTATTGTGATCTCAATTTTCAAGAACTTTTTTTAAACTATACTACTAAAATCCAGTCAATCATCTATCATTCTGAAATGCCTTATATTTGATCATCCATATCACTCGTCTGTAAAAATGAGTCTCTGAGGAATATCTCACCATCCAGCCACAAGAGGGGAAAGGAAGCAGCCCCCTATTCCTTAATAAATTTGGGTTTATCTGTTTTATATGCTGGGCTCTCGCTTTAGATATTTTGAAGATTTGAAAAATCACTCTTCTCCTCTGAAAGGTTTACCAAAATTTAAAGTGACCCAGTGATGAAATCAAAATCTGGTCCAAGTTGGGGGATTCCATTCTCTACTGTAATTTACTAAACTCCAGCTCCTCCTGAAATGTCTCGATTTCTAAAAGCAAGAATGTAAACTCTAACAAGACCATGATAACCACATTCTGCAACAAGAACAAAAAGGTGCTTAACTGACAGAATTTACTAATAATCCTTGTAAATAATTAAAGACGACACCCCTTTCACTCAAGAAGCTCATTAATGTAGTCCTAAAAGGTAATGGGTATATCTTAAATACAGCTAGGTATGCTTTGACTAACACAGGCAATTATCTCAAACAACATTGTTCAGTAAAATGTTCAACTTCTTAACCTTACTGTTTGCATTAACACATAGTGCAGCACTTAATTCCTAAGGCTCTGTACTGAAAACATAAGATACTCATTTAATGATAGGTTTCTGCAGGATTGCAGCTCCTTTTGGTATCATGTAGTAGGTCACTAGGAAGAGTGGCAGCAGCTATACTCTGAAGGTAAAGACAATACACAAAAATACCACCAATAAAAATTTGAAAGTTATAATAACTTGTAAAGAGAAACATGTCTGTTTAAATATCATTTAGATATTTGAAGCTATGAGACAACTGATGGAAATGGAAAGCACAGAAAGTGGCTATAGAAAAAAGAAGAGTTCAGTAGAGGTTAGTGAACAAATACACACCACCATCCACCATGGCTCACTGTCTTACCTGAGGAGGAGTAGGTGTGGATGTGGGTCTCCCTATGGGTGGAGTAGGATTTCTGCTGCCACCTCCAGACATAATCTCCTCTGTTATGTCTTTACCTCCCTGGTTTGGATCCCGAATTCTTATCTATAAAGTTACAATAAGATGGCATATTCACAGATGGGTGTCTATGTAGTAGAGTTACAGGCATACGACATATTAAAGTTGCAAACTAGGAAACCTGTCAAATATCAAAGTTGAGTACCACATCAGACTTTATTTCAATCACAGAAACACGTGGGGTCATTCAAAGAAATTTAGGCCATTAGCTCTGACATGAACTAATTAGAATAACAAGCTAAAACAAGACCTAGTTGGCTAAATTTCTAGGTCAGAAAGGTAAAGTATTAACACTTGTCTTGTAAGCACTGCCAAACTGACTGATTTTATTTACAATGCCTAATATAAGACAAGATTTATAAAACAGTTTTAAAATATGGAAGTTACTCTATAAAGTTTTAAAGGTCTTACATGATTCTCTAACAAAATGAAAGACATATCCTAGGACTTAGTAATTTATGTTGCAGACAACTTTATATATGTACATAAGAATGCTCATTGCAATATTGTTTGTTCCAGCAAAGACACAGAAACATACCAAAGGCCAATCAAGAACATAATAATTTAAAATAGGGCCGGCCCGGTGGCACAGTGGTTAAGTTCACAGGTTCCGCTTCTCGGCAGCCCGTGGTTTGCCAGTTCGGATCCCGGGTGCGGACATGGCACCGCTTGGCAAAAGAAATGCTGTGGAAGGCGTCCCACGTATAAAGTGGAGGAAGATGGGCATGGATGTTAGCTCAGGGTCAGTCTTCCTCAGCAAAAAGAGGAGGGTTAGTGTTCCTCAAAACAAACAAACCAAGCAACCAACCAAAAAGTGAGATCCTTACAATTAAATACCAAACAGCCAGTAGAAAGAATAAGATCTACATTTACTGATATGGAATGATCATCAAGATGCACTGGTAAGAACCAGCCCTGGTAGTCTAGTGGTTAAGGTTTCGGCAGTCTCACTGCTGCAGCTCAGATTCATTTCCCGGTCATGGAACCAGACCACCCATCTGTCAGTTACCATACTGTGGCAGTGGCTCACACAAAGAACTCAACTAACAACTAGGATGCACAACTACGCACTGAAGCTTAAAAGAAAAAAAAAAACACGTATTTGTAAGTGAAAGGATGCAAGATGCAGAACGTGTATGGTTTTCTTCTTTTAATTTTTTTAAAAGTTACCTATGCTCATAGATGTCAGTGGAGATGGTGCTATAATGGAGATGAAGTACCTGACTCTAGGTCTTCCATCCTGGGACAGTGCTGAGACATAAAGGGCCCTCTGCTTCTCATTACCTCCAGAGCTTAATCGAGGTAGCCCTAGCTTCTTAAAAATCTCAAGGAATTCACTAATAAAATCATGTGAATCTGGAAGCTTTTTTTGGATTACAGTCAGCCTTCTGTATCCACAGGTTCTGCGAACACGAATTCAACCAAGTGCGGATCGACAGGCCTACAATGGTTGCATCTGTACTGAAGATGTACAGACTTTTTTTTTCTTGTCGTTATTCCTTAAACAGTGAAGTATAACTATTTATGTAGCCTTTATATTGTATTAGGTATTAGAAGTAATCCAGAGATGATTTAAAGTACATGTGTGTAGGCTATATGCAAATACTATGACATTTTATAGTATAAAGGACTTGAGCATCCTCGGATTTTGGTATCTGCCGGGGTCCTGGAACCAACCCCCCATGATACCGAGGGACAACTGTAGTTCTTCAGTAACAGTTCTAACATCAGCTATTTGTTCAGGTATAGAAACTCATTTCTACTCGCTTTAAGTATTGCTTCTAATTCATTTGTTCCACTTTCTTCTTCAGTAACATCTATTATTACTGTCTTCCATTTTCATTATCTTCTTTATTAATTTTTCTGCATTCTGAGAGTGTTCTTCAAGTCCAACATCTGCCATGCTGTTTCAACATTTTCAAAGCATAATTTCTCAACTCTAGTGTCACGATACACTGGCATGTCCTGATTATTATGACGTGCACAAGTAATTTATTTCTGATAATAAAGAACCAAAGTTTTGAATCTTGTTAATCTTTATTAAATGAGAGCACTTTCAAGAGTCTTGCTATGACGTCACTCCCACCTATCTTACCTGTCTGAACGAGGGAGACTCTCATAAACATCACCCATTGTTTGTGTTCTGATGGATAAAAGATTGCAAGCCATTCTACTACAAAAGTTCTGTGATGTAAATTCTGTATTACTGCACTCTAATTCTCTTGGGCCTGCCTTACTATACAGAGGCAAAGCCCCTGTAACTGACTGAAACCAATTAGACTATATTTTCTCAATTCTGCTTTCTGTTTCTTAAAATGAATCTATTCCACAGGAAAGATTTTTGTTATCCTTAATACGGTGCTCATTTTCTCTTGTGCTATTTCTCTCCCCTGTCAGTTCATATTTGGAGGTAGAGCTGATTAGGACTAGAGCTAAAGGACAATCAGGATGCTACAGACTGAGCTCAAATTTCTCCTACTTAGTAAGATCTTAGCAGACTAAACCCTCCCCGTCCTAAAGCTGGAGGGCATGCTGTCATTTAGCATACTTAGCTCAGTGCATGTTGAAAAGTGATAGTATGCAAATGTTGCTTGCAGCTTCTAGCCATATACCCATACAAATCCTCCAGGCCTACTGGTGAGAATGTAAGGGAGGAACAAAAAACGGCAGTCATTTGTGGACTGAGATGAATAATGATTACAGCTGTGGGTAAACTTATTTGACAAATGAATGGACATTAAATGTTAAAATAAGAAAAATACAGATCTCTTACTGTTTTTTTCTCTCTCTTGGCTGGAGGGGGCTGCTGCTGCGTAGGCACTATAATAGGTGCTGACTGATACACTGGCTGACTTGGGTAAAAAGGCGTTCCTAAAGAATTAGAAAAGAATGAAAAAAAGCATTCAGTTATTTCGTCAACCACTATAAAACTACAAATGGCACTATGTCTCTGGGCAATCAGTTTAAAAAAAGTAACAAACAAAAAGAAGCATTCTTCTTATTCATCTCTTTCTACTAGCTCCTCTCCAGCTACTGGTCAAGGAAGGATTCTCAAATACTCATAAATATCTACCTTTTCTTTAAGATCCAATATGGAAACAACTAAATAAGCGACTCCTGCAGGCTGCCACTAGCGTTACCTTTTCAAAACACTACAATCATGCAATGCCTAAGAACAGGGACACATTCTGAGAAACGTGGTAGGTGATTTCGTCATTGTGTGAACATCATAGAGTGCACCTACACAAACGTAAATGGTATAACCTACGACACACTTAGGCTACGTGGTACTAACCTTATGGGATCACCGTCATATATGTGGTCCATTGTTGATCAAAACATTGTTATGCGGCACCTGACTATAATCATACTATAGAACTGCTTTAAAAAAATCTATTGTGGGGGCCCATTATCTGCAGCAGTGAATGATTCTCAAACAAGGGCTTGTGTAAGAGTTTTGTGTGTGGGTTTGGCCAGGGGCAGGAGAATCTATCTGATCATCTTGGGGTTTGCGGGTGGTCTAATCTTCTCTCTACTTACAGAGAACAACTGCCATAGGGAGCCACCATTAAGGCTTGGCATCTGTCCTACTTTGGGGGTAGAAAAAAGGCTGAGAACAAGCAGCCTAAAGATAAAGTCCAGACACTAAGAATCCAGGTTCTAGGTTTCTAACCACATTTTCTACCACTCGCAAACTCTACACCTTTGCTCTAGCTATAACCTTTTCTTACTCCTATCCCTTGAGTACACCAATCTCTTCCACATTGTTCACGCCTTTGACTATACTACCCTTTTGCCTGAAATCATCTTCTACCTACCCCTTGTACTCTCAACAAATCCTTTGTAATTTTCAAAACTTTGACCATTATTATAATTACTATTAAACCAGAATACTTAGAAGTGGAGAGCAGCAGTCAAATACTGGACATTTTGAAGGTAGAACCCACAGATTTGCTGATGGATTGGATGTGGGTGTGAGCGAAAAAAGTGTCAAGGAAAACTCTCAAGGTTTTTTGTCTGAGCAAGTGGAAGAATGAAGGTGTTATTTACTGTGCTATCTGTTTACTTACTGAGATGAGGAAAACTAGAGGAAGAGTGGAGTTTAGGGTAGAAAAATTGGAGTTCAATTTTGCACATGTAAAGTTTGAGATTCTTAGACTTTCAAATGGAAATACCAACTAGGCAGGAAAAGATACAAGTCTGGAGTCAGAGAATAGGTATCTGTTTCGGAATTAGTAAAATATGGACAACATTTAAACCATAAGACTAGATAACTCAGGAAATGAGTACAAATAAAAAAGAAGCCCAAGAATTCAATTTTGGGGCACTCTTATGTTTGTTTAAAGGTCACAGATATAAAAAAAACACAGCATAAGAGATGAAAAATAAAACCAAGGTAGTGGTTGAAGCGAAGAAAACTGTTCAAGAATGGGGAGAGTGCTTAACTACGTCAAAAGGTGCTGAGAGGTCAACTAAGATTCAGCAAAGTAGAATTAACTGGTGACCTTGACAAGAGTTGTTTGACTGGGGGTGTGCATCCTGATTAGGGTGGATACAACGGTGAATGAGATGAAAGAAAATGGAGACAGAGAGTACAGATAACTTTTTCTTAGAAGTTTTACTATAAAGGGAAGCAGAAAAATGGGCTATAGCTGGACAAGAATATGAAGTCAAAACCCGCTTTTTTTTTAAAGACGGGAATAAAACAGTAGGCCTGTATGTTGATGGGACTAATTCAGCTAAGGGAGAAAAAAAGTGATACTGCAGGAAAGAGAGAAGAGAACGGTTGGAGTAACAGCCTTAAATGGGTACACAATGGGATCTGGTGCCTAAGTGGAAGACTGGCCCTTGGTGGGAGCATGGATAATTGAATCACAGTAAAAAGAAGAGAAATGTGTACGAAGGTAGTTAACACAGGTAAAAGCCTTGGTCCTTTAGTAAACAGTCAAATAAAGTTGGTTCTATTATCACTGTTCAACATCATCACCATGACCACCACCATCACCACAATCTTCCAGTGGAGTATCTTGGAAGCAGTACAATTTGCAGTACCAGAACTCGGCAGCTGTCAATCAGTTTTGGAGAATCAGATTTGGAAAAGGCCTAAACATGGGGCATGACTAGGATTTCAATAAGTTCAACATAAAAAGACAAACCTTAGCCATCCTACAGTAATGGGTAAACCAATCTCAAAGCAGAGGTCAAATGAGTGATTCTATACTATCTTTTTATGTCACTACTTCCAAAACTCAGAAAACAACCTCTAAAATTGGTTTCAAATGCTGCTAGATAAGCAATATAATCTGTTCACTCTGCCATATTTTTTAAGCTAAGTGAAATAAGATCCAAAAGGTGAACCATCCTTTAAAAAACAAAAATTAGATTCTTCTAATGAAACGTTTTGAGTGAATATCACTAGGGTAGAGGCTGGCATATAACACAAATACAATAAATACCACCTTAATAAACCTGGCAGAAAAGGACAATCTCAATATAGTGGGGTTAAACACAATTAGTAAAACATTAAGTCAACTGTGACCCCAGGAGAGCAGGCATTCTGCCCTATCAAACAACAGTTTTCTTTTAAAACTACTTTAACTTCTTATATAGTCAGGCAAATTTTAAAACATTTATTTTACTTTATTAAAAATGTGAATAACAGGTGCTGGCCTGGTGGTGTAGTGGTGAAGTTTGTGTGCTCCATCTTGGCAGCCCAGGGTTCACGGGTTCAGATTCCAGGCACGGATGAACACACTGCTCATCAAGCCATGCTGTGATGGCATCCCACACACAAATTAGAGGAAGACTGGCAAGGATGTTAGCTTAGCAACAATCTTCCTCAAGCAAAAAGAGGAAGACTGGCAACAGGTGGCAGTTCAGGGCCAATCTTCCTCACCAAAAAAAAAAAAAAAAAAAAAAGGCAAATAACTTTTGCATACCATTTATCAATGAGGCAAGTTATGTCTCCTCTTACGCATGGAATGAGGTAGGTTCGTCTAGATCAAGGGTGGCCCAACTAAAGCCCACGAGCCAAATCCAGCTCAATGCCATTTATTTTGTAAATCAAGTATTTTTCAGAAAACACCCACATACAGTAGTTTATCTATTGTCTATAGCTGCTTTCCCACTACAATGGCAGAGTTAAAGAGTTGAAACAGAGACAATGTGGCCTGCAAAGCCTAAGATATTTATTATCTGGCCCATTATGGAAAAGTTTGCTGACCCCTGTTTTAGATCAATGGGTCCTCAAACCCCAGTCTGTACAAAAGGTGTCACTGATACATGGCAAAATTTATACAATAATAACCAGGAAATACACACACACACACACAACTATAGGTTTGCAAACTTGACATTTTTGGAAAGGACTGTTCCTATTTTGAAATATTTCAGTCCTACTTCTTTGTTCTTAAAACAGTCTTCCTATATGAAATGATACTGACAGTAGAGAGCAGTTTTCTTTAAAAGTCTTATTGGCAAAATTTAAAATGTAATACTACTGTGTGTCCCTTCTTTTATTTTACTTTATATTTACTTTACTTGCCATGATATTGAAAGATCTGGGAACCATTGCTCTAGTCAATATTTAGATTTCTTCTCATTGGTAAAACATCAAACATAAACATCAAACATATGTGCTATAAGATCCTGAAAGGATTCTGAAAATATCTGCCCAAATAATGACAATAATCTAAACTTCTTTCCGTAGAGGACTGGATTGAGAAATCATGATTCATTCCTAAAATGGAATACTGTGTAGTTTGAAATTCAAAAGGTAATGAAATGGAAAGATGTCCATAAATAGATTGTGAGATAGGAAAAGAAAAAACAAGAAATTTTAGAACATTACAAATAGTATGTGCCCATTTGTGTTAAAAATTGTTTAGATATAAATGGAAAATATGTACCAATCTGTTAAATCATTATTTCTCTAGGGAGTGGGAGGGAGAAAAATTGGCTATTTCAACTTTATACATTCTATAATATTTGTATTTTTCATCACTAACTTGGTTACTTTCATAACGAAAAATTACTTTAAGATCATTTGTCTAATCTTAAGGAAATTAGGGAAACAGCGTTTTAATCTAAGTGATAAACTGTTTACTCAATGGCAATTTAATCTGCATAAAAATTTCCTGGGGAAGAAAGAAAATTTATCAAAGGAAACAAACATCAACAATATCTGAGATACAACTGTACCTCAATATACTGCTCTTTTATAAAAATGAACAAATATAGGATGGCAACTAGACTATTAGTGGTGAACATCATGTAGTCTATACAGAAATCGAAATAAAACGATGCACACCTGAAATTTATATAATGTTATAAACCAATGTGACTTCAATAAAAAAAGAATATCATCTATAATAGAAATAAAGCCAAAATGTTATATAATATATATAAAAGTCAGCAAAATATTTCCGTACTAGTAAATTCATCTATGTTGTTTCCATATATACGGCAGCAGGAGCACTAAGAGCTATGAAGAGGGCTGGCAGACTGATAACATGAGCTTTAATGATGACATTTTCTGAGTCAAAAAGTCATTTATGTAAACTATAAATAAAAAGTAGACTAGAATTCAGTGAGATACCTTTCAAAATGATTTTGTAAATTAGAAAATATAATCGCATTCCCTTTGCAACATTGGATTGAAAGAGAAATACTGTTAATTTTAGCATGTTTACACTGACAGAATCTCATCTTACAGTTTTTCTATTCAATAAATTCTAGATAATAGCAAGTCAATATGACACTTAAAAATAACTTTAAGTGGATTTAAGCTTTCAGAATAAGACCCAACACAAAGGTACTAGAATTGTGTAAAATCTGTGACTTCAGGCTAAGTTCTCAAGGGGTACACAAGGAACACTTCAACAGTACTGGCAATATTCTACACCAAAGCTGGTTAATGTGCACCTATTACTTTACTTTGAAACTCACATATATGTAACACACACAGATCTGAAAATATCAAATATTTCTTAGTAAAAATATAACTTAATAAAGCGACATTAAATAAACACATATATTTGAAGCAGTTTCATAAGCAAGACTTACCAAGGTAATAGAGAGGCTTTCCCTTTTCTAACAGAAGGAAAGCCAGGTAACGCTTGCTTTGTCTGTTTCACCTCTAAACCTAACAGAAACTTTCTTGGGCTACTCTAATACCAATAAATTCTTCTGTAAAGGTTCTTAATCAAGCTACTAAATCCCAATATTAGGAAACTGGTTAGTGGATACATAGATTTAATAGATTACCATCTTAAAAGAACAAGCTAAAATTTTAATATGTCCTTGCTGGTAATGGAAAAGATCAATGTTTACTGAATCTTAAAGCTTAATTTTTCTAGTATCTGCTGATTGCATCCTTTATAATTCACTTTCTATGGAACAAAACAAGTGTAGTATGTGGTAGAAATTTATTGAATAAAGTGAATAATTTGTATTACTCCTTAGTTTAGTATTGGTTCACATACCAAGTATAAGCATGGTGCTTGTTTCTCTATGTTAAAAAGACTAGTAATTTTTCAAGGCATTTTCATTTAACTCATCCTCAAAACCTCCCAAGACATAGATCTTATCACAATTTTGCAGAAAAGTAATCATGGGTATCCTGAATTACATTCACTCATCAGATGTATATTCTCCCAGTGCCTGCCTACCTTTGTCCTAGCAGTGAGCAAAAGAAATAAAAGTCCCTGCCTTCACCAATATTAGATTCTGGTGGGAAAACATAACAAATGTTTTGGTAAATGCTTAGAGAAAAAGAAATCACAGAAGGGAAATAAGGTATACTTATGCCACCAGCAAAAACCCAGTAAACATCTAAGTAATGATGAGTTAGTAGCAGGTATCAGCACCTTGAGACATGGGCTCTTTGCAAGATAATTACCAGCTCCTTCAGAAGGTGTCAATAACTAAATGTCTCTCTATAATACTCTTTCCCTGTAAGCCACTCTCTTAAAAAGTAGCTTTCATGTCAGAACTATTTGCAACATTTTATTTAAAAATCCTTTACACACCACCAAATCTCTTTGCCTAAATTGATCTGCCAAACAAACAAAATGGAATAAACACAACAAACTAGGAGAAATAGCTCAATTTTTCATACTTACCATAAGCATTGGGGAAATCCCCAGGTCCTGGTCCAGGGTAAAAAGGACCTGGCCCCGGTGGTTGAACCGGATACTGTTGTGGGGGTCCAACATAAGGAGGGCCACTATGACGGTACTAGAAGAGAGAAATGATAGGCATTTATAAATAATATGAAGGTAGCTCACTATGGGAAAAAAAGGTGTGTATAAGAGAATCATTTAAATGACGTGAAGACACTCGATTAAACACACTGAAAATGCTTGCTTGCCATCAAGATGCAATGAGGATGAAAAGAAAGGAGTGACTTAGATAAGCCAACAGCAAATCAGTGCACAGGCAGACATCAGCTCACTGTAAACTTATTTCAGGCTGGCAGCTTTCAACAACACTGAATGATATCACAAGAACAGCATAATTACTGAGTCTATTTTAGGGCAGGTAGTTGCAGGGAACGGATGGGAAGAAAGCTAGAAGATAAAAACAATTTCTCTATCATCTTAGAAAATTTTAAGCAAAGACATAGAGAAATATCTCCTTTCAGTATTATGGAAAATGACAAAATGGCTAACTAGACTTATAACCAACAAAAAAGTTCACACATCACTAAAATCCAATGTCATCAACCACCCTTCCTGCTCCCTCTGAGACTGAGAATCTAGGTTAATCCTCACCCTATTGCTGGACCACATGGGCCTGAGAGATACTTTACCTGTGGTATGCAGTACTGAGGACCCTGGGGCACTGGGTATGGCATGGGCAGATGGTTAACCATCATGATGTGCTGATTGGCCTGATACACTGCAGTGGGTGTCTGTGCACCAGGACGGATGGAAGGACTGCTGTTCGGGATGGTAGCTCTAGGAGGCTGTATCTGAGGCCTCTGGAAAAACTGGGGAGAGGAGAAAAAAATATACATACATAAAATTTTTTTTTACAAAGAGTATATAAATTTTGCTATCTTGAGCTTTCCTCTTTTTTCCACTAATAAAAATCTTATCAACTTGAATTAGAAATACAATATACATGAAAAAAGACTAAACTGCCTATGGCTGGGTTCAGAAAAAATACTCCACACTAGGCACACTGGGTCAAGTTTTCATCAATGTTGTGTCACATGTGAAAATAGTAGGGCAGTCTCACTTTTAAAATGAAGTCAGCAAATTTAAACTAAAACTTCTGTACCATAATTATTAACTTGAAAATGTGTGATAAAATACAACAAAGGGGGTAGCTGATGTCTCCCTAAAAGTTGTTCTATTATATGAAAGCACTGATTCATAAAGAATAGGTGGCTTATCAACTTATTAAAAGTAATCCCCTAAAAAACTACCATTCAAGTCATTTATAAAATATGTAGAAGAAGAGGAACTCTCTCTAGACATAATTTTCATCTCAGTATATCAGGGTCAAGTTAAATTAAAACTATCCGTAGGGCTGTCACATGTCAACTGTCACATTATGGGAAAAGTCTTCCTTTTCAAAAAAGTGGCAACCTCAGACTAAGTCAAACCCAATTTTGCTTTCTCAAATAGTTTGCAATGAAACTGGAGACTCTAGACAGGCTTAAGAACGGTCTGGAAAGAGCAGAGCTCAAATCTCTCAAACGGCAATGAGTACCTCTGATTGTTTAGGCTTCTCACTGTAGGCTTTAGCCTTGAAACAATACACCAATGGTAAATTTTCATGTGAATGCATGTATTCATCAGCAAACAATTAATCTCACTGTAATAATAATAAAAGGATAGAGTAATAAAGAGGCCATGCAGAACTAATAGTTTGTTACCTGGATGGGTCTGAATCCTCCCTTCAATTATGAAGCAAGAAAGCAGCAGGAAACAGAAAGAAAGCCAATGGAAAAGCTTATAGATCAGTAGGAAGGGGCAGGACATAGCATGCAGCTCAACATAAACATCTTTCTATTTAGTAACAATAGGAGAAGAAGGAAGATTAGAAAATCAGAATGACAATTCTCCACTTGAGAATTCAAGGACACATGGAATTGAAGAATCACATCACATATAACTAAAAAAATTAATTCAGTGGCAAAAATATTCTAATAGTAGCCACAAGTTCTAACAGCATGACAGGAAATGTCTGCTTAATGGCACACGTACACTTGGGACTACTGATTCCTATTCTCGGCTTTCATGGACGCCTATTATGTGATTTGGCATTAGTTATGTAGCTTCTCCACGATCCACTCTCCCTCTTGAATGGAGGTAAGACAATAATAAAAGTGCCCTTTGTTATTTTAAAGTTTGCAAAAGTCCTAAAAAATAACTAAACTTTTCAATATGTAACAGACTCTTCATGACAGAAACTTGCTCTTTTCAACTAACCAAGCATATGAGACCACTTACAGCTTTAAAATGGGGAAATATAATAATAGTCTAAAAATGTCATCTAGCTCCAGAATCTCCTGAGTTGCCTCACAATTCCAGACATGAGTGTTGCTCTTGGTCCAAATAAAGGTAAGGTTGAGTTTGATCTTTGGGCCCACTCTGGTCTTATCCTTTCCTACTCTTAAGCATGAAGCTACCCACAGGTGGTAGAAGTAACTTTTCACCTTGTGCTGAACTAGAAGAATCAGGATCCAGTGCCCAAGGCTCATCCCATTCAGCCTTCATACCCCAGGGCAAAGAAAGCCCTGAAGAAGTTAAGGAGAGAAAAGCAATAGACAGTAAGGTATAGTGGGAGAATGTAGTAAATGAGAGAACCAGATGGGGGAGGCCACAGAGAGTAGTTGATGGAGATGACAAGAAAGCACAAGAGGCGAAGTTGATAACACAGGAACCTGGGCTGGGCCACAATGACAGCAACAGTCTTCTAGTTATCTGCACTGACACAGTTTTGGTGACAGACACAAGAATTTCTGTCGGCTGCAACCAGGAATACTAAACTAGTAAACTTTCCATAGTAGACTTCACTTTTCTTAATTACATAGGCGATAGAACCTATTATTTATGAATGTATGTGAGTTGTAAACATATTTCAGGCATGAATTTAAGCATTTTTATAACTTGTTTAATATACTGGGAGCCACAAAACTGTTATAGGCCTCAAGGAAAAGAGAGATATTCATCTGCTCAACTTACTGAGTATTACTAGATGTCAGACACAGCAGATAAAAAGATTAATCCTCTAAGACCCTTTTCCACCAACTCTAGAGGGCAGCCAAGACAAAGAGAGTATCAAATAGATACAGGTGATGATTCGCTGTATGTGGTTATATTACCACCAAATTTGTCAAAGTATTTATCGCCTGAAAGAGACATGCTGTTATGGGCGGGGGGGAGAACAGGGGAAACTAATCCATTAATTTAAGCAGAGCAAGAAAAACAGACATGGGCAAAGTTTTTCCACAATTTTAACAGTTTGCTATATGTGAGTACTTTTCTTACCACTATTTTCCAACTGCTCTGCTGGGATTTTTAACCAGCCTATCTAGAATAACTGAGGTTACATCTTATTCAAGGAGGCTTCTGAATAGTATAAGACTGTTTTTTTCAGTGGTTTTGAAAGAGAAACAAACAAGTGTTTCTAATGATAGTCCTAATATTAACATACAGCTCAGTCAGTAACACTAAATTTCTGGTTTTGTGGACATACAATAATTTTTTATAAACTAAGATTTCAGCTTTGAAGCTAAGTAGAAAAATAAATTCACAGGCACATTAAATAACAACAGTGAAGATTTATATAGCACTTACTAGCTACCAGGTACCATTCTGAACTATACATATATATTAACTTATCCTCACAACAAACATCTAAGGCAGATACTATCATTAACACCTCTTTTAGATATAGGGGGAAATTGAGGGACATGAAGATTAACTAACTGGCTGAAGGTCTCCCAACTATAATTTAAAAACAATCAGGTTCTAGGTCTGTATTTTTAACTGTTACACACACTACCTCTCATGAAATGGAACACCCCTCATATTTTCAAACAAGTGTTTTCAGTCAGAAGAAATCTTTTCAAAGGCTGAAGGGATGTGGCAGGACCTTTATCCAACTACACTAATGAGTGGCACATCCTAGTAAGAAAAATGCTCCATCAGTTACTTCACAGAATTCATATTTACCATTCAGGAAAACAAATTTCTTCTATCTATAAGACTCTTTATCTCCCTTAAAGTAACTGAAACTTGTTCATATGCTTTTATATCCTTGAGAACATTTAACAGACTGACTTTTACTCAACTTTATTGCACTGAGATTTTTATAAGGACAGGCTATCTGGAGCTTTTGTTTTTCCACTTAAAAAGCAGACTCACTCGCTCTCTCTCTGTCTCTCTGTCTCTCTCTCTCACACACACACACACTAGAGATTCTAATAGTATCTACAGGACTAGAAAAGGTATCAGGAAATTAAGATTCCATGGGGTGGGCATGCAGCAAACCACAGATTATTTTTTTAAATGTGTGAATGGGTTTTCCAAAACTGCTTGCAATGCTTCTAAAGCCCTTTTTCCTCTCCACTTAGTGACAAAGAATCAAATCCCGCTGGATGCAAGGACAGTACAGACAATTTAGTCTAACCACATACCTAAAGTTTGAATCTCTTATAAGACACGACCTTGGGGTTACGAAACTTTAGCACCTCAGGACACAGTTCCATTTCATTGTTCAATGGAGTTCTGACACTGCAAAAGTCTTTCCTTCTACTGGTTCCAATTTTTTCTCTCTACATCATCTACTCTCTGGTCCAACGCCTATCTTTAAAATCACATCGAAGCCAAATCTTTCTTCTCCATAAGTGACAAACCTCTAAGTTATCTCAAACTGCCATCGCTGCCAACTTTCACACCACTATTTTTTGTTCCAAGCCACTCACCACCCTCTATCCCTTGTCCCTCCAATCAAGATTTTGGACTCCCCGCCCAGGTTACTTTTATCTCTCAGTCTGCTCCCAATGTTCAAAGTCTCATAAATAGAGAACCAAACACAAATATCCAAGTGGGGTCTGCCCAGAATGTACCTGGTCCTCACCCAATAAATATCTGCTGATGAATGAAAGAACGATATATCTCTCAAGCCAACTCTGTTTCCATTAATGAAATGAAGAATCACAGGGGCTCTTTTGTTAACCACATTTTACTACTGATTGGCACTCAGTTACAATCATTTAAAACCCTTAAATCTTTTTTATACATAACCTAGTAATAAGTAAGTTCTTCACTCCTGTGTGTACTCTTATAGTTGTGTTTTGAAGTTCTTACAGGGACTCTTGTATTTTGTTCCTTTGAAAATATATCTGGCTAATTTCAACCCATCACTTCAGACTGTACAGATTTTTTTGGATTCTGAATATATCATGCAATATCAAAACTACAGGACCATCAGCAAGTTTGACAAGCATGGTCATTAATCCAAGTCACTAATAAAAATGCTGAAAAAGACTAGGCAGAGAAGAGAGGAACCATGCACAACCTAAGTATCATCGCCAAGCTTGGTTTCAATCTGTTTTAAGTCTTTTATCTTTCAATGGTCCACTAGTATGCCAGGAGAACGGCAGAGGAAGGTGACAGCCTTCATTTGAAGTGGTACTTTCGGCAACTCCAAAGGGCTAGGATACATTTAAAACAGAGGCTGAATTTCGGGTACTCACGATTGCTGACTTTCACAGAAACACTCTAGAAGCTAGAAGGAAAACGTCACTTCTTGCAAAATTCTTCTAAAGATGTAGTAATTATACCATTACCCAAAGTTTCCTGGCCAATAACATTAGTAATAAATGTTTTTCAAAGATGCTGGTAATTATACTAAGTCATTTCTCAAGACTGCACTCTAAAATCATCAAAAGACAAAGATATCTCTAAAAAACTATATAACAATCAGAAATTCTTTGAAAAACACCTATTCATTTTCAGGAACTAGAAAAATCCTATTCAATCACATTAGTTCTTCCCATATGGAAAAAATCCACTAAGTACTTAATTAATTTGCAAAGGAATAAAAACCATATCGAAAACATGCTTCTGAAAGCCCTAGCTTTTTGCAGAATATAGTTCAATCTACAGGAGGCATAACCAGTAAGATTTGCAATTAAGAATTCTTCAGGTTAACATCTTTAAAAATTCTAAAGTACTCTTGAGAAAAATGATAGTGCTATGATTTTCTGACAAATTACCAAGGGACAAGCAGTAAAGAGTCCACATAATGGGATATCACTCAAGCATCCATCAGATATTCTGCTGACTTACAACAATTTATAATGAAGGTTAGCACATTCTAAATTCTGTATTTTCCTGCACATGGCCAATATCACATAATTTAGGTTTCACAGGAATTAGGAGATGTAAGGCCTAGAGCTGAGCTGTCCAATATGGTAGCCACTAGCCATATTTGGTTACTTAAATTAAAATTTAATGAAAAACTCAGTTCTTCAGCTGCATTGCACATTTCAAGTGCTCAACAGCTACTTGTGGCTAGTGAGTGGCTACTATAGTGAACAGCCCAGATACAGAATATTTTCATCACCAGAGAAAGTTCTATTAGACAGCGCTGCCCTAGAGGATTATGTCAGATGTAGGAAAGAAATCCTTAAGGATTCTGCCAGGAACAAGAAAGTGTTCTGTCACATCATAATGCAGAGTTGGGAAATTAACATGCTTATAGAACACTTCATTCAGAGATAAAAATAGCCTGGGAAAAGGGGAAAGGCAGGCTGTCTTTCCGCTAAAAGAAACTGACAAGGACTCATTATGTGCCAGGCACTGTGCCAGGCAGGTACTTTAATCTTCACAACACCCTTAGGAAATAGGTGCTATTATTACAATACTTCAATATTATATCATTTATGAACATATTTTATCCATTTCACAGGTAAGAAAACAGACCCAAGATCAATTTGTAGGACAGCTAAGACTGAATCCCAGTGATGCTAACTCTCAACCTATATTTTCTTCACTGTCTCTGCTGCAACCCTACAACTCCTTGTGAAAAAGGCACCAGATAACTGCCCATCACTGACTTATATCAAGCCCTGAAAAATCCAAGAGTTCTGGTTACAAGACTGCATAGATGCTTGATCTCATTCCCTATTAATATCCATTAAACTCTGACATGCCAGGTCTGGCCCCAGAGGTAAGCTCTAAGCACTCATTTATCTTATTTTCCAAATCTAAGAAACTGCCTAGAGCAATACAAATATTTCTCTACCAGGAACTAGGATTTCAAAGGTAACAGCACAACTTTGAGTACAAAAACCCTCAGTGATAGGGGCTGGCCCGGTGGCCGAGTGATTAAGTTCGCGCGCTCCGCTGCAGGCGGCCCAGTGTTTCGTTGGTTCGGGTCCTGGGTGCGGACATGGCACTGCTCATCGGACCACGCTGAGGCGGCGTCCCGCATGCCACAGCTAGAAGGACCCACAACGAAGAATATACAACTATGTACCGGGGGGCTTTGGGGAGAAAAAGGAAAAAAATAAAATCTTTAAAAAAAAAAAAAAAAAAAAAAACCCTCAGTGATAATAATGAAAAAAAAAAAAATCAACATAAGCTACTTGTTTCTTTTTTTTCTTTTTAATCTTTTTGCAAAAAGAACCAAACTACAACAGAAAAACATGTACAGTTTCAATGCTTGTTACCAGGTAACATATTCCTTGATGCCAAATACTGTTAAGGTTTATGAAGCTTATTATTTGTTTACACTAAATCCAATCGCTTTGAATATGGCATATTATTCAGCATATGTAAGCTAAAATCATATATCAACACACTGCAAAATCTTTTAGTTTTATGAACACTTTTCAATACCAATTCCCTGGTCTTTCTCAGGCAAAGATTACTCAGCCATAGTATATAACCAACACTTGATCTCTCTTGTGAAACCCAAAAGCAAAATAAATACAGGAACATAAGTAACTTTAAACTACAACTACACAAATTTCAACGACCAAAGACATGAAATTCATAATACAAGCCAGAAACTACATTATACCAAGTGACCTGTTTTAATTCTGAGTGTATGTTCTGTTCTTTCAGTTTCTAATTACCTTGCGATTTTCAGACATCAGAGTAAAAACAGTTGACATATTTCTAAAGCCAACGGTGTTTTGCACATAAAATTACTTATGACTTCTTTTTACCTTTGAAGAAAACTCTTATTCTAATCTAAAGTTCTCTTTAGGTTATAAAATGCAAAAAGAATAGAATATCCTTATTTATCTACAGCAAAAGCCAAAAGCTGACGGTACCAGGAAGAAAACGTGGCTGACGTAATCCTAATTGGAGCATGGTATTCCTGACCCAAGGGACTCAAAAACACCCCTAACTGGCCACACATAAAGATCCAAAAGCAGTTCTAAGAAACACATCATATAGCAGTTTCTTGGTTCTATTAAACTTCAAATTTTACTATCCAAAATCTTTCTATTTGTTTCAATTCAGATTTTTACAAAGAAGAAAAAAAAAGGGTTCTAGACTACCAAACTGGATGATGGTATTTTCTTTTCACAAGGAATTACCTCCAAATAGCTTACCTAAACAGTTAATATTTTATTCTTTCCAGCCAAAGCAAACAGCCATACATGAAAAAATCACTTTTATTTTCAATTCAACTTAAATCTTAAGCACAACAAACCAAAAATATCCCTGGATATGGATGTTTTTCCTTTAAAAAGGTATTCCCTATATACCACTCGACATTTGTTTTTCACTGTATTGCTTTCATTACACAAGTCTCTGTTGTGTTTTCTATTATGAGCATCTCCTTCTCTGTGAATCTGTCAGGCTTAGGTCTCCACCTGACTTTAGATCTGAGGAGGAGATCCTATTAAATACAAACTTCAGTCAGCGATCCTCAAACGGGAAAACCTATCACCTCTAGAGAGGGTATTTGGAAATGGATGAAGGTATTTTTTGCTTTGTTTTGTTCTTTAATTGTCTCTGGGGTAATTCTACTGGCATTTAGAGCCCAAAGGTTACTAAATACATTGCAATTTATAAGACAGTTTTTCCTAAACTGGTTATCTCACCAAAAACGTCAACCAATTCCATAGTGCAACAAACCAAACTGGCCCCTACATCCATGGATACACAATAGCAAACTCTTCCCAACAATTTACCCTACACCACACCACAGCACTGGTCAGGTACCTTCTGCTCAGCAGGGCCACCTGAACCCCATGCTCCTCCGCTCCTCTACTACTCCAGGTAACTACTGCTGCTGCCTGAGTCAAGGTTATATATTTCCTTACTTACTCAATTCTCTGTGGTATAATGAAGAAATTCTAACTGGTTTTAGAAAGGAAGAATGCCCAAGTAAAAAGCAGACAGATACTGAAGTTTTCGTATCCAAAACAATGCCATATCTCAAGAACCCATCTTCAAGAACTAGTGCCAGAAGGTAATTATTTTTCCTGCTATGAATAAATAATAAATATATATACATACATAGTTCTCTTTTTTTAATGGTTGAAACATACTGTAATCTCACAAGCATCATCCTACAGCTAAATGAAGGACCAATCCTACGAATGAGTCAAATCATTACACAGGAAAAATGGGCAGGACTGAAATGAACCTTTTCTCATAAAGATTCCTTAAAGATTTCCTTGGTTGTTGGAATTAAGGAAAGATGAAATGCAACCAAGCCTTTAGGCTCAGAAGAAAATTTAGAAAACAGATTTTCCCAAAGCTGACTATAAATGCCTAAATATCAAGTCCCTATTTGAGGACCACTGCTATCAAGAATCTCAGAAATCTCTTTTCTGAATCAATAGTTTCTTTTACTCTGTTTCTTCAGCAGAAATCTCCCAGGTTTCTCTGTCAGGAGTACGTGGCTAAAATTTAAGCCTTCCCTCTAGGGCCCTTGATTAATTTTTTTTAAAAAGTTATAATCAATCTTTTTACCTAAGGAGTTATCTTTTTGTTTTTGAATTATTAGTATCTTATCTCCTAGATTTTTAGTATACGTCAAACACTGTGCTCATCATTTTATTTGCATTATCTCATTTACTGTTCACATCAGTCCTGAGATGGGTATTAACACTGTCTCCATTTTACAAATGAGAAAACTGAGGATGAGAGCAGTAAATAACTTACCCAAGAACACTCAGTTAATAAGGAGGAGCCAAACCTACTTTTAGCTGACAGAAGTCCAAGCTCCTAAAGTACTTCATGATACTACTTCTTGATAGTGAAAAATTTCCCTGAGTTTCTTTCTTTATCAAATCTAAAGAATTGCCATCCACTTCATATAACCATCTGAGTTCTTCTGCAAAGCACTTTTAACAGCACAGAAGCTGCGTGGCTGTCACATCGTCTACGTTGGAAAGACTACACTTTGAGAAATAGAGCCTTGGATTAAACCACTATTAAGCCATGATAGCCCTCAATTAAACAACACCCATTTACTCAGTACTAAGAACTCTAAATATGATACCACAGGTAAATACTGCTAACATTGCTCCCATTTTATCAAACCATACTATGCTGCATACAATATTAAAAATAGAGGGCCTGGCCCCGTGCCGAGTGGTTAAGTTCATGCTCCGCTTCGGCGGCCCAGGGTTTCGCTGGTTCAGATCCTGGGCACCAACATGGCACTGCTCGTAAGGCCACCCTGAGGCGGAGTTCCACATGCCACAACTAGAAGGACCCACAACTAAAATACACAACTATGTACTGGGGGGACTTGGGGAGAAAAAGCAGAAAAAAGAAAAAGAAGATTGGCAACAGTTGTTAGCTCAGGTGCCAATCTTTAAAAAAAAAAAAAAAACAGCTACCACTTATTGACTGCTTATTTTCCGTCAGATGACTTAAGTACATTATTCTCTAATGTAGAGGGTATTTATCCACATATTACTTACAAGGAAACTGAGGCTCAGAAAAAGATCTGCTTAACTCAGCTGGCTACACAGTAGAGCTGGTAATATGAACCCAGATCCGTCAGACTGTAAAGCCTAGACTCTTTCTACCACAGCAGGAGGAAATGTTTCAGAACACTCCATAAAAACCTCTTTGAGGGAAAAAACCCTGCAAGTCATCTTCTTTATCTCAAACCACCTCCTCCAGTATATTTGTGCTAAATAAACTGGTGTCAGGATATACAGCTTTACAATTGTAACTTATATAACATTTCATTTAAAAAAAACAATAGGATAAAAATATTAAAATTAAATAAGGAATCTTTTCCTATACATCCTAAGAATAAAGATAATTCTATGCAGCAAATGAATGTATATTATTGTTAATCAATTTTTTATTAGGTCTAAGTTAGTAACTGAGATTAAGCGGTTTTAGAAATACTAATGCTATTTGATATATCAATACAACTTACATTGGAATGTTAACAGAAAACCCTTAGAATGTTGCCTGTTCCATTCTGTTAAATTTAAACTTAATACAGATATCTACAAAACCTGAGAGAGTTTAACATATTTAACATTTTCCAAGGTTCTCTTAACTCAGAGCAATTACTTTTGGGGAAGGAAAAAGACCTACTTTTAAGTTGTGCCGTAAAGAAAAGCAAATGGCTTTGTTAATAACAAAATGCTGTGAAATCAGAGTAGGACCAAAAGAACTGAATTACTTCAGACTGAGCAGTTGGAGTGGTTCTAGGGACTGGCAGCATTCTAAGAGTCAGCAGCTACTACGGCCCCCACCTATTAGTTAAGGGTGATAGTGAAGGGGCAAGAGTACAGTACCTGATGATGGGCAGGTCGAGGCCCCGCTGCAAACTGAGAAAAGGAGGGAAAACAAACACAAAAGGAAAGGCACAAAGAGTCAGAAACACCACAACAAAAACCAAAATGTCACACAATATGCCAAAAGAAAAAAACCCACAAGAAAAAAAAAAACACAAACAGTCAAAGCTTTGCTGCAGGACAGTGACAGACAGGTACTAAGATTCAACAGGTTAACACCACTACCAGGAATAGTTTGCCCTTTATCAGCTAGGAGAGAAACAGCTAAGCTGTTAGGCACATAAGGGTGCTTCTCTGGCAGAATTTTTCTTTTTTAAAAACTCTAAAATAAAGCAAAAGAAAATTTGAAACGCTAAGTGGTTATATTTAAGACAAACATGAAAAGTATGCTTATGCAACTGATAGAGCTGGAGAGAATGATAAATGCTTTTACATTACAAGAAACGGCCAAGAGATAATTATAATATCCAAGAGGAAATAAAGAATGTAACAGGACTGATTTCAAATTTACTTAAGTTAAATGGGGTATCTCACACATGAAATGGAAGTTTCAGTATCTTCCTTTATTTCTTACAGTTAAAGAATCATATACGTATATGTTTATACATATATAAAAATAACATACTTAAATATATAATTATATATGTTTAAATGCAATTAACTAGTCAAGTTTAATAACAGACATATCAAAGCAAACAGCTGGTAAAGAACATCACTCTCTAACATTATTAATCAAAGTGTTACTGTTATAAGCTCAAGAAAAAAAGAGTTAAGTCAAATTTCTCAATTACTCTTTATACACAACAGTACAATACTGTACATATGTACCTGCTGCTATCTGATACTGAGAATAAAAGCAAAAAAAACACCATAATTCCTCAGCTGAATCACAGAGTACTTGAAAGTGGATAATACATATTCCAACTCTTAATTTCCCTAACTCAGAATGGAAGAAAAAGCTTTTTCACTCATAAAATTTTACATACTAAACCTATAAAATCAAATAACTCTTCATCAGAGCAAAATAGGGCTTCCAATGTGATTTCATTAGACAAAGAAAAATATGTGGGCACGTAGTATCACGTACTGGCTATTGGTACATTAACCATCGAAATGTTAACCACTCTCTTTAACAGTGAAAAGAAAATATTTAGAAAGTAGTTTTGAATGCAAACCATTCTGGGCTTTTATTTAATACATTTAAGGAGTGAAAATATTTATCTTCAGTTGTTTTCTTTCCTATAGAGCCTTCCATCAGCTCGTCACTACAGGTGAGTTAGACTGAAGATTAACTAAGAAACAATGCCTTGTCCTCAGAATTTAAATTACCTGCAATAGTATTTTCAAGAGATTTGGAATTATTTCCCCAACAGCCATTATTTCATATAAAAATTTTTCAAAAACTTGCAGAGGAGGCACACCACAATGTAGCAGATGACTGAAGACAGTTCCATCAAGAATTCACCCTAGAAGCTAAAATGTCACCTACTGTTCAAGTAATGAAAAGTGCCTTAACATATTTTGAAGTTATTCAGCATAACTTAAAGAGCTCTCAATGACCTATGTGATTAGAGTGCATGAGGTCAGCCACTGCATTTGTTAACCAGTGTCAAACAGTCTTTCAGAATGATGGTAACGGCAGCTACACTTCTTGCAGAACATCTCCTCTTCGAAGAAACTGAGGTGTTATATTCTCAGTTTTCCAATTATGAAAAGATAACAGATCATACCTCTACTATGGACATCAAGTTTCAAGAATAGGGAATACCACCCATGTGGTATGAAAGTAGGGGGTGGAAGTGAGATGTTTCTTCATGACATTTTTGAAGAAAATGGGAGAGAGGGGCCACATTGGAAAATTAACCTGAGTACAGCAGTACCTGTCTTATCACTGTTCCACAGAAAGGTTCCATTTCTAAGGCTCTAAAATAAAAGTTGAAACTTTATATATTTGGAATGTTCCAGTCAAAAGAGAACTTTCTATGAGCAAGAGGACCTTATAACATTATACATATATTTTTTTTAAAAACACAATTTAAGTTAGTGGGAAAGTACCCTAGTCTATTTTGCACTAGTCACCATTGGCTATTGAGTTTTCCATTTGGAATGACAACAGTCTTAGTCCTACGGGTAACTGTAAGCAACAGAACAAACTGTAGTCGCTGCTGGCTCATTAAAGATAGAAACTTTCGTTTCTTTTTTTTTCCCTTTTTTTGTTAAGAGGGGTCTTTAAGATGGTGAGGATTGTACATATTAAGGAAAGCAACCTTCTGTGAACTTGGATCCAATGTTAACGCCACCCACCCACCCACTCACTCTTCTGGTAACCAGGCATGGCCAACATAACAATGCTGTAACTTTGGCACTTAGCACCACAAATTACAAAGATAACCAATGGTTACAGGTTATTGCAAAAGCCAAACTGTCCCCCTCTCCCATTTAAGCATTCGATAGCTTCACTATTTTGGAGGCCATTTAAAAATAAACTACTGTTTAAAGAGTTCCAGTACAACCAGAAAATGGAACGGATAGGTAGCTTCATCAGTATTTTCTTACTTTTAAACAAGAGTTTCAACAACATGAATTTAACTAAGATACTAAGCATCAAATAGAAATATAGGCACAAAGATACCCTCAACGAGGGAGGGGGGCCACCTGAAGCCAGTTGGATTGCAAAGGCAGCTGTCCAGGGAAGAACAGAAAAGCCTAAACTGTGCAATTGCCAATGGCCCATTAATGCAGAAATAGAATGGAGTAAGCTTTAGCTGCTCTACAGAGCCACGGGAAGGGTCTTTTCCTTAGTGCAACAGCTTACCTCTCCTCACCAGTTGGGACAGCTGTGGGATGGATGAGACTAGACTATGGCAACTTGGGATGTAAAAACAAAATGCAATCCTGCCAAATTTCATATCCCAACTTCACCCTCCCAGCACCAACACAAATGAAATAAAGAAAACTGGACCCAAAACAACAAGCAAGAGTAGTCTGGGATTTGCTAGTCTTGCACTTGTTTTGGGGTATGTAATGGAATGTTATATGTGTGGTTTTTAGTAATGGGGGTGGTAATGGTCACTAGCAGAGCGGATGGCAAAAATTGCATAGAGGATAGTATCTGAAGAGTTTATGACCACAGAAAAATGGCTGAAACTACAGAGAATTTCCCCCTTGATATTTAATTACAAAATGGAAAGAGGGAAAAAGAAGCCTTTGAAATTTATCTTTTAAAATCAAATTTATCTGAAAGGGATATCCCTCTTCAAGTTTAAAATAAAGAACAATCTAAACCCCAAATTACTCCTGTCTAATTCTCAAGAGAAGACCCACCCAATTTGTTTTTCTTTTCCCCACTATGCCTGGCAGAAACTGCCATGCTAGGTTAGACTTTCAGAGAGAAAGCAATCAATGCATTTCTGTTCATCAGCCAATAAATGGATGTGGTCAAAAAAAATGAGTGCCAGAGGCACCACTGCCTGCAAGAAGTACAGTTTGTCATATTGCTTACAATGCAGTATTTTATCCAGCCTCTTCCAGCCAAGGACCTGTAAACGGGAGTCTGTTCCAAAACCTTCCTCCTCTTCCAGTTGTCTGTGCAATGTATTGGCACTGTTCTGCTGGGCTGTCAAAAAAACTGGTTTAGAGATGCAGCTCTTCAGTCAGGTTTTGCGCCAGTTCTAACCACGAAAATTTAATTCTTTTTTTAAAATAATTATAAAGGAGGTGGGCGGGGGTGGGGGGGGGGTGGGGTAAAGAGGGCCATAGAAATCTTTGCAATAAGAGCTTACCATAACGTTCCATGTTTAATTAGAACCAGGGCCTATCTAAATTAATCTGGTGAGATCTCAGGCCCACTCCAAGTAGTCAAGTGTCCACATCCCCAAACCACTCTCAGAACAAAACTTGCAACAGACATCTTGTTGACCATTTCAGCAAAAAAAGAGACAAGCAAACAGGCAACTAGGACCAAAGTCCCACCTCTTTAGAATGGTTCCTCCACCCCCGGGGGGAACCAGGATCTAAGAACAGGTATTGCAGAACAGGGCAATAGGGAAAAGGAAGATAGGAAGAGGGTAAGAAAGAGATTACGTTTTGGTGCAGTCTATGCTCTCCTGGTTCTTTGAGCAATTCTTTCATACATTTCAACATTTCTAAATTCATGCATAAAACCAAATGAACAGTAGTTAATTCAATGAAACATTCCTGTCCATAGACAAAAAAGGAGGAGTGGGCAATCAAAAGAAGATCCCTGTATTCTGAGGAAAACAGAGAGCTGAGGTACAAGTAGGGATGTGAGATGTTACAGAAGCACCTTCTAGCAAAAACTAATCATGCAGGGCAGAAAACGACATTCTAGGAATGGACAGCTGAAGCCACTGTACACTTGTGTGAAACAGAAGGATGAACCTTAAATAAATTCTCAGTCTTTAGAATACTTATTGCAGTCCACGTAAAGGATGAGTAAAGAGGATGATAGTATTTGCGTTTGTATAACAATTCATTTACCATCTGAAGAAATGAATACACCATTGGTGTATGTCATGTATATGTTCACACTGTCAAATGGTTAACACTGATCTAGTGACACCAGTTTAGAAATCTTACTTACCAAACCACTGGAATTTGAGAACCTAATTGATGAAATTTAACTTTAAAATCATTGTGCTTTATTCTTCTGAATTTTGAACAGAAGTAACAAATTAAGAGCTGAAATGAAGTGAACTTGAATGCAGCCATAATTTTTTTAAAAGTCATGCCACAGAAAAGTAAAAGAAGATAAAAGCTCCATTTCTTCTTTGTCTTAATAATTTAAAACTATTCCTATACGAAAGGTCTGAAAACTCACTGCTAAACAAAAATAATAAATTGTCCTTGGAACAAATTTACAAAATCAAGTAAAAGTATTAGCCAAAGGAACCCAAGCTACTATAAACACAAACTTAGGTGGAGAATATTATCTAGAACAAGCTTCTGCTTACTTACCGGAGAACGGGTTTGAGGTTGTGAATTCATTGTCTGAGGGGCTTGAGGGTATACCAACGTGGTTGGACCTGCATTCTGTCCAGAGGGATAAGGGGTCTGTCAAAGAATGGCAAGAACAATATCATATTTTGAATAAATATGGCATGGCAACTCAAATCCAAAGTGTTAAAAAAAAGTTTCTAAATCTGTTTATTAATGTGGTTTACAGCTCTGCTTTGTAAACTTATCTATTATCACATTATCCACCAATTCAGAATCAGTGAAGGATTTTCTTAGAGGTTGCCTTAAGCTCCTGATAATGAGACATCTGCAAGCCATTATCTAGGTGCGATTATTTAACACCATGAGTACAAAGAGCACTCACTGTCAATTCATTTGTTACTGAAATGGACAGCCCACGCCACTAACAAAATCAAACCTGGCTGAGAGAACCTGTGCCTGCTTTGGCGCGCTGCCGCTGAGGAAGACATTCCAGAGCCAAATTAGCAGTTCACTTGGTTAACAGGTGCTATATTACTGATGTTCTCTTTCACTGGCTACACCTTAATCTTTTTACACAGCCCCCAAAAAATCTACAACCAACAAGAACTTTATATAAAAGTCTGGAATAAGAGGTAATATAATATATACTAGCTTATCATATATTTTCTGAAAATAAGAATATAAGCTTTCCATTATGAATCCATGTTAAATGCTACAGACCATTATACTACGTGCTAGTGATTTGAGAAAAGAAAATACTTGTAACATGTTTAAAATGAAATGCTAGCAAGAGCAATGGACACAAAATCACAAGACTTGGATTCAAATCGTAACAACTGCCACTTACTGTGTTCGTTAACTTGGGCAAGTAATTTATCTTTCCCATGAATGTAAAAAGGAAATAACACACCTACCTCACAAGGCAGTTGCTAAGATTAAATGAGGTAAAGCCATTTACTGTCCCTTTAGTTACCACAGTGCCAATTTTACCAATCAGGAAATCAAGGGTCAGAAAACTTAAGTGTCTTACCCAAGGTAACTAAGTAAATGATATATCTAGAAAGTATTATAACTTTGCTTAAAAAAAACTTTCTGGAACTTTTGGCATCTGTTACCCATTTAACACAAGTTCAGCTGAGATGACAATTTAAAACAAATGTCTGAAAAGAGTCATCATAACTTTCAAATAATGACAACAAAACAAAATTAATTAAAAAAATAAGAGGTTCAAATTAAGAGAAGATATTTTACAATCTTTCAACATAGTAAACTTTTAGCCCTCTCTATAACTGACATTAACATTCCACATCAAGCTAATTTCCTTTTTCACTCTTGTTCTACTAAATCTGGCCATAAACTGAAAAACATGGGAGCAAGTATCTTGCATCTATCAAATAGGTGATAACTGGATCAACTATGACCCCAAAGTTACTTAGAGCTTTCTCATCAAAGATTATGCGGAGCACTGTTTCAGACACTAAGTTTATGTGTTTGTATCACACTCAAACTCTGGATGGTTGTAAGTGACTAATTCAACTTAAGAAAGAGTGGTGAATGGATTTCTTATCAACTTTGGCTACATTCAAACTCGAAAATATTTCATCAAGTTCCACTACAACATCTGGATATAGTTGTAAAATTTCATTCTTTATCAAATTAAAGGAAGTCATCAAGTGTTAAGAAAGTCACGCTCTTTGGTCTTAGGAAATCTTGACACTATTCTCAATATTTAGTTGGTGGTATGTTGAAGCATAAGCTTCTGGCTGCCAAGATACTAAATACAACATTGAGGTATCCCACTTATAAAAGCACAGAGAAATGCTATCTCTTTCTACATTTCAAAAGTCAGGTAGGGAGCTTTGCCCTCTCATAGTTAGTGTACTACAGAAAGGAAGAGTAGCCCATATTTTTGACAGAACATGCTGAATATATGCATGATGGTCATATTTGACCTTATTCAAAATTTCCACTAATATCTTCAACACTGGAGCCATGTAAGGCAACACACAACTAACTGAAAAGTGGTATGGGAATTAGCATTGCACAAGTTCTTTCAATCAGTAATAACACGGTTTCTGGCCACACATACAGCCGGTACTCTGTCAATACTGAGACTCTACATCGCTCTTAAAATGATTATTAACAAAACAGAATTTACTTTCCTTTAGCTTGGAATTACTATTTTAAACAGACAAAAAATAATCAACTACTACTTCTTCTTGTATTGTATGTATGCCAAGAGCTGATTCATACTCTGTATACAAGCAATTTCATCCACATGCAAAGCATAATAGTTGACGACAGCAACACATGGAAATGATTCCTTTTTCACAATGTACGCCACTATGTCATTACTAATATGGGATTTTAATAGGGGCACTGATAAAGGCATTTTGCCAATGGTTCACTCAGCCTTCTCTCAGAGCCTTTTTCCATTCTTTGGGCTGGTTTTAGAAATTTCTTAGGAATGATGTGACTTTGTACCTGTTGTTGCTCCAAGGAGTGCAACTGTCAAAGATGTCTCTATGCTTCTCATCTCTTCTCTGCATTAATGACATGGTTAACCAAGTTTACCAATTAAGTTATTCTGGAATGACTTGTTTACTATACTACTATGCTTTGTTGAAAAATACTGCAAAAGCTTGAATGGGAACATTCTATGAACATATTTCATAAGATCAAATGCAGAGAGAACTAGGGATAGATAACTACAGTATCATTTCGATATTGTCATAAGTTTTGTTTGAATTTTCCCTTTTCAGATACCTTCAAAGTTATCACAAAGATTTACTTCTCCAAAGACATATACATGAATATTTTATACTTAAACTGCAATCCAGTTCATTGTTCACATTTACAAGAGTCATAGACTTTCATTCTCATTTTCATCATTACTTTTATGTTTCAATGAACTCTCTTGAGTCACTGATCCCTTTTTAATAAGTGAGGAGATAAGAACACAACAGCAACAAAAAAACACAGCGAAAAACGTTAACTGACAAACTGTTAACAGAATGCCAGTGAAGACAAGCCAATCAAACTAGACCTAGTGCTACATACATAACTTTTAAGTCCCTAATAACTATTTTAAAAACGCTAACTTGGACAATCACAGATAGAAATCTGAGAGTGAATTCCATTATAAGATAGAACACAGGAACACAGGATCTTAGGTCCAGATGCGATGACTTTCAAAATACAGATAACGTGAAGAAATTAACAAGGATTTTCAATTTTCACAATATAATACAATGGACTTCAGCCAACAAAAATAATTATAACGGAAAACACTTATATAGCTCTTACTATGTTTCAGGCACTATTCTAAGTAACTCACATATAACTCACATGAAATACTATTTCTTCTGTTTTAAGACTCTTCCTTCACTTTAAATAAATACTGCCATAAAGACTAAATTAAATATTGTGCATGTGCGTGCATACACATATAAATCTGACTGAAAAATGAAGTTGCCACAACTGCTTTCAAAGAGCTATTGGGTAATACTAACCAAATTTTAAATAAGCTTATCCCTTTGACTCCACAATTCCATTTCAAGGAATTTACCCTACACATATATTTATAATGGCAAAAAGAAAAAAAGGAAACATTCTGAATTTTCATTTATAGAGCAGAGGTGAAAGGATGCTATAACAAATCAATGGGAGACTATCTTGTAATCGTAAAAAGAACGAGGTAACTCTACATACACTGTTATAGAAAGGTATCTGTAGTACTAAAGCAAAAGCAAATAATAGAATTAAGTATACAAGCGACCTACTTGTGCAGTTTTTCTGATATATGCATATAGTATACTCACAAACAGATAAAGATAAGATGTCTTAGGAAGATACATAGCAAACTCAACAGCAGCTACTTCAGAGGAATGGGAATTGGAAGGGTAAGTAGAGGACACAACTTGCAGGTTTTATTTCATATGCTTCTGTATTACTTGTTTTGCCTTTTTTAAGGATCAAAAGAATTGATTACTTGTACAGTAATAAATTTATAATAAATTAGTTTTATAATAAAAACATAATGAATGAAGGTTCTCTGTCCTTCAGCTTCCCCTTCATGTGACAGAAAAAAGCAAAGCAAACCAGAAAATCCAGTCAGAGGTCTGCAGTTTGCAAAGTTCCAAATATTTCTGGAACACAGGTGAAATGTCATCTCATAAATCACAATGAAAATTAGATCAACGATATTTATAGAAATCTAACACAAAGAAGACACTATGTTGTGGGCTATGTGTATAAATGAGGCCAAGGATACATGGTTGCTGGTTTTCTAACCTTAGAGAAGTTCACAATTTAATCAATAAAGAGATAAATATGGATGTAAGAAGTATTTATTCAGCCTTCGAGTATCATCCTTTGCAGTCCTTAAAAAAGATACAGAGAAACATTTAATGATACCTAATGAACGGTATTGACAGAGAATACTGAAATAAGCACAGTTATATACAGAATATACCAGTAATATTTCAAACCATTACAAAACTACCAGAATTACTTAACAAATTGTGTTGGGATGACTAGATAATCATTTAGGGGAAAAGGAGAATATATATCCTCTACTTACGGTATGCAAAAAAATCCCAGACTGATTAAACGTCTTGGCATGTAAAATACGAAGGCGTAAAGGTGCTCAAGACAAATCTGTTTCTATTTGAGAGCTGGGAAGGCCTTTAAAATTTGAACGAAAACACTACCTACAGCTCTACCAATAATTTTTTTAGGTAGACTATTACTAATAATTTATAAAAGTTCTTAATTTTGTTTTAAAATTTTTCTTTATAAGTTTATGTGTGTATACATATGCATATATGTGTTCCTTCATCCTTATTACTAACTATTATAGGATACATAGTGAGAAACTCTTCTACCAGACAAATAAATGTTTGTCAATTAAAAATGACCAGAGAAGCAAAGATAATACCTTAAAGTCTAGACCAGCAATTTGACCATGCCAGCATCCACAATGCTTCCATGCACTTTCAAGCTCTTGAGAACTGTCTTCCAGAGTGTTACACAATGAGTGTAAACAGAAATTTCCACAATGATTATAAATGTTCTATATCTGCACTGCCCAATATGGTAGCCATTAGCCACAT